CACTTTTGTTTTCTTTTAGTTGACACATTATAGTGTCCACATTTATGGGCACAGTGTGCAAATTCAGTGCAGGCATGCAACATGTGCTGTTCCCAGAATCCCTCTGCTTTGCCCAGCACCCCTCTGCTGTGCCCAGCACCCTCTCCTGTGCCCAGCATCCCTCTGCTGTGCTCAATAGCTTGCTGGCTTCATATTTGGAAACTTCAAATTCCTTTTAGTTCTTCAAAAGTGTGCAACAGGTAATATAGTGAGCACAGTTTCTTTTTAAAATACTATTTGGGAGGTCAAGGCATATATATTAATATATATTCAATAAAAATAATCCCATACATTTATGATATGTATTTACACACACACACACACACACACACACACACACACACACACACACACACACACACACACACGTATGGGATTTGTTAGAGTGACTTACAGGCTGTGGTCCAGCTAGTCCAACAATGGTTGACTACCAACAGAAAGTCCAAGAATCCAGTAGTTGTTTAGTCCATGAGGCTGGACTCTCAGCTGGCCTTTGATATATGCTGGAATCCCAAAGAAATAGGCTCTAAATGCCATTTCTTGCCAGTGAGAGTGAGGGCAAGCAGGCAAAGAAAAGAGAGCTTCCTTCTTCCATGTCCTTTGTATAGGCTGCCAGCAGAAGACGTGGCCCAGATTAAAGGTGTGTCTTCCCATCTGAAAAGGTCTGGATTAAAAGTGGGTCTTCCCAACTTCAAAACACAGTTATACCCAGTCACTTGAGTTATTTTTAGTTAATTCCAGATGTTGTCAAGTTGACCACCGAGATGTGAATAAGTGATCGCCTACATGTATGTGTGTGTATACATGAACCTGCACTGTGTTTGTGTTTGGTGCCCACAGAGACCAGAAGCAGCATTGGATCCCCTAGATGGTTGTGAACTGCCAAGTTGCTAGCTGCCCCGTTGGTGCTGGGAACTGAACCTGGGTCCTCTACAAGAGCAGTAAGCGCTCTTAACCCCTTGGCCATCCCTCCAGCCTATTTGCCTTTTCAACTGTCGATTTCTTACACTTGATTGCAGAGACAGTCTCTTCCCATTGGCTAAACTTCAGGCTGTCACATATGGGTCTTTGTAGTGATGGGAGTGGCCCATGAATTTAGATGGAAAACTCCACCCTTACCTCGACTTGACTCTGAGCTGATGGTTTTCTTCCCCATGCACAGTCAGCATCGAAGCCCCCCGCTATTCTCGGGCGGGGCATTCCTGTCACATGTATTTTTAGTTAATGGTGCAGCTGTCACACATGTCTCCGTGTGTTGTTTATGTCCAGTATTACTTCAGACTTACAGGAAGGATTTATAAGATCCATGGTTAGATCACGTGGTTTACTGTGTTAATATAATAGTAGCAATAGTGTGTGTGTGTGTCCCAAATTTGATTTTCAGTGGGTAACTGGGTCTTACTGTGGCTGGTTTTCTTTGCACTTGAGGAGCTTACCCCCTGCAGCCATACAGGCTCTGTGGGCAGCTGTCCATCTTGAACACTGCCAGGACTGTGTTTATTTATTGCTGGAGCTGCAGCATCAGGTGGGCTGGGCACTGTGTTAATTAAATTCCTGGGCGTGGCAGCTTTGTCCGAGAGCTTCAGATCCCCTGAACTCTGCCTGCAGCCTCACCAGCCAATGTCAGTGCCACCCAAGGCTGGGCTGAGCCCTGCCTGCTGAGAGGTGTAACGCTGGGTCACCAAGCCAGCGTGATTTCCTCTGTAAGCGCTGTCCTTGAAAGGGTTCTGCTAGACCCACTGCTCTAGTGATCAAAGGACTCCTTCCTCTGAGGCTCTGGGGTTGATTTTCTGTCCCTGCATTCCTGGCTTCATAAAAATAAAAGCAGAATTCTTGGAAGCTAGACAAGAGTGTCAACTAGACAGCAGTTCAGAGCCCCCAAAGAACCAATGTCAAGGCTAGCGCACGTGAAAACGCATTCCAAAAGAAGCCGAGAGACAGGGAGTGGCTGCAGGTGTGTATTAAGTTTCTAGAAAAATGTCAAAACAGCTATAAAAGAAAAACAACACATTGGGGCTGAGCCCTGAAAGGGCAGCAGCCACTCCTAGCACCGCCCGCCTATGCCCATGTCCTTTGGCCCTGCGCTGCTGGCATGGTCTTTGTCTGTGTCTCTTTGTCTGCCACAAATTCCTCCACCCAGTGCCATGGGGATTGAGGCCAGCCAGATTCCCAGCCAAGGTCCCAAGTTTTTTTTTTTTTTTTTTTTTTTTTTAGTGATTTAGTCATGTTCGAAAAAGGGTTTTCTTATTTTTTTTTTTAAATCGTAAAAAAGATGGTTGCTCTTTCCAGAAAATTTCCACAAAGTTTTGTGAGATTAACAATAAGGACTGGGCCAGGTGGTGGTGGCACACGCCTTTAATCCCAGCACTCAGGAGGCAGAGGTAGGCGGATCTCTGTGAGTTTGAGGCCAGCCTAGTCTCCAGAGAGAGTGCCAGGATAGGCTCCAAAGCTACACAGAGAAACCCTGTCTCAGAAAAACCAATAAATAAACAAACAAACAAACAAACAAACAAACAAACTAAGGAATGGGCTAGAGAGATGGCTAAGCAGTTAGGAGCACTGCTCTTCCACAGGACCTGAGTTCAAATCCCAGCACCCACATCAGGAGGCTCACAACCACCCATAACTCCAGCCCCATAAGATCTGACACCTCTGGCCTCTGCCAGCACCCATGCTGACATGCACGTACACATGCATACACATAATTAAAAATAAAATAAATATTTAAAAAATGAATGCAAATAAGAGGGGAGGGGAAATCTTTCAATGATGATCTTGGCATGGACAGTTGCCCTTTGCCAAGTGGCTCCTGAGACCATGGTGACTCTACCCATAGGAGAATCCTCAGGTCTTATACATGAACAACCAGGCCTTTGAGGGGCTGGGCCACTTCTACACACTCCTAACTCTTACTTAGTCACGGGCTCAGTAATGGGGAGTCCCCAACCCTTTTATACAAGTTTTTTTTTCTTTTTTCCATGTTGATTTTTTTCAAGATTTATTTATTATGTATACAACACTGTTCTGCCTGCACGCATGCTTGCACACACCAGATCTCATTACAGATGGTTGTGAACCACCATGTGGTTGCTGGGAATTGAACTCAGGACCTCTGGGAAAGCAGCCAGTGCTTTTAACCTCTGAGCCATCTCTCCAGCCCCCATGTTGATTTTTTTTTAAAGATTTGTTTATTTCTGTTTATGTGTGTCTGTGCATCCTGTATATGCATGCAGTGCCTACGGAGGCCAGAAGAGGGTGTCAGACACACCTGGAGCTGGAGTAATGGGTGGTTTTGAGCCACCATGGTGGTGCTGGGAACTGAACTCAGGTCCTCTTGCCAGAGCAGCCAGTGATCTTAACGGCTGAGCCATCCCTCCAGTTCCCTGTTGGTGGCATTTCATTCTAGTTAGGTGTGAGGCTGTAGCTACTAAATTCACGACTTTGCCTCACTTCTTGGTATTGTACCCTCAGTGTTCCCGTCCACAAGTCCCCACTAAGCTCGCCTTCTGTGGTGGGGGTAGCATCTCAAATGCAAGTATACCACACCCCATAATACATGCAACCAAGTCCCTCTGGTTGGGTGTGGAGGTTGCTTCTAGCTTCCTTTCAGTGAGCCACCTTATTTTTGATTAGTTAGCATATAGAATACTAAATTTCATGATCCACAGTACATATGACTTTTCATTCCACACATATCACTGTTCTTTGGTCCCCTCCCCCACTTTCCTCATTGCAAACCATCTGCCTTCTGCTTCCGTTACGTGTGTGTGTGTGTGTGTGTGCATGTGATATAATTTAACACGGATTTTACATGAGAGAGTATGTGATATTTTAGATACTGTATCTTGTTGTCCATCACCCTCTCTTGTTCGCCTCTCTTTAGACCTCTGCTTCCTGCCCTGTAGACACTTTCTACTCTCATGTCCTACACATGTTGCCGTTTTAAATAGAGGCATGGCTGGGATGCGGCTCCATGGTAGGGTGTTTCTTTAGCAGACACACAGCCCCGTGTTCCATCCCCAGCATTTGCCATAAAACAAAATAATGAGAATGGTACGGGGAAGTGTTGAGTATTAGAGTGTACGCCCATTCTGGGCTGCTTATTCCAGCAACCTTGGGCTCTGTGCAAAGCATCCTGGGAGACTGACAGATAAATCAGACCCAATCCCTTTACACGGAATTTGGATGGAAATAACCTTAATCCAAAGCAGGTTATAGTTGCTGTCAGCTGACACCTAAAACCGGCATGCAAAGAGTTTTGTCCTGGCTTAATGGGATTTTAAGAACACTGGATGAGAAAATCTGAGGTTAGGAGCAGTCCAGCTGAGGGGATTGGTGTGGGTGGTTGGCTTGCTCCAGCTGGCAGGTGTCACTCAGGAACAGGTGGGCTTTATTAGACTGGCTGGACCAGCTGCTTGCCTGTGTCTGTGAGGGTCCCTCCCCCCTCTCCCCCCCCCCCCCCCCTGCCACAGAGAGACACAAACAAGAACTGCTGGAGACACAAGCTGGTGTGAAGTAGGGACAATATAAGCTCACATGGCCATCTCCTTGCCATGTTAATTTCAGGAGTGCTCTGGGTTTCTGTGGGTTCGGCTGATGCCAGAGGCAATGTTCTTTCAGTTGAGGGCTTGGATCCATTCAAATCAGGCTCATTTTGGGTTTCACCTTCTCTGTCTGTGAGCTTTGAGAGTCTTTTGTGGAGGGTCTAAGAATGTAGATAGGAGTTACCTCGATCCCAAGCTAGCGAATGGGACAGGGAGGCTACGTGGCAAGGGATGTCTCTACCAGCCTACTGCTCGAACAGCAGATGCTATACCTGCTTTCTCCCTGCCTATTTCCACTTGGGTACTTTGGGATTGACAACTATGCCAAGTGGGGGAGCATTTGGGGGAGCTCTGGTACACTGTGCCTGCTGCCGCCTGGCACTCTCCATAACTCTGACCTCATGGGGTCCTTCACAGTCTTCACAGGTGCCATGACGCAGCAGCCCCAGGAGGACTTTGACAGAAGTGTGGAGGATGCCCAGGCGTGGATGAAGGTGGTACAGGAGCAGCTTCAGGTCAATGACAACACACAGGGACCCCGAGCAGCCCTGGAGGCACGGTTGCGAGAGACAGAGGTAGGCAGTGGCCAGGCTTTGCTGGCGCTGTGGCATTGGCCATCTCCCTCCTGCCCTGGCTGAGGGACTAGTGAGCTGTTCACACCCTGACCTGTGTTTAGGTGTCCTGGTCATTTCGCTTAAACATGCATTCTGATAATGTGGTTTGGGGCTGAGGCTGAGGTTCTCGTCTTCCAGAAAGTTCTACAACTTGACCTGGCTGCTTGTCCATACTTCTGTCATAAGATGCCCTGCCTTCCATCCTGTTGGGGGGAGGGGGGTCGGCAATCTGCACATCCAGGTGGGTCTCCTAACCCTGTTGGCTCAGGCTTGGCTCTGCCCAATACTCACCCCTGAAATCCAAGGTGTCTGCTGGGTCTGGATTGGCCTACTTCTGCCCTCAGTGGGGAGCAAAACCACTGATTGAGGCTGGAGAGGCGCCTCAGCTCTAAGTACCTCGTCCGGCTCTGGCGAGGGTGACAATTCAGTTCCCAGCACTACCTAATAGCATTCCTGTCAGGTATCCCTCAGCCACCTGTACCTCTAACTGTAAGGGATCTGTTGTCTTCTGGTCTCTACCTGCACCTGCACTCTCACACACAGACCCTCACACAGACACATATACACATAACTAAAAATGAAATAAATTGTTAAAAAGGTCGGAGGAGTCTGGAGAAAGGGATACGCAGTTAAGAGTACTTGCCATTCTTTCAGAGGACCCTAGTTCTGTTCCTATCGCCCGTGTTGGGCAGCTGATAGTTGCCTGTAACTCCAGCTCCAGGGGATCATACACTCTCTTTTGGCCTCTGTGGACACACATGTGGTATACATACACAGGCACATATGTGTTGATTTGGTCAGAGCCCTCACAGACATACCCAGAGGTGTGCTTTGCCGATCTCCCAGGTGCCTCTCAACCCAGTCAAGTTGACAGTTGAGACCGTCCATCAAGAGTCTTTTGTTAAACTGGGCAGTGGTGGCACACGCCTTTAATCCCAGGACTCAGGAGGCAGAGACAGGCACATCTCTGTGAGTTCAAGGCCAGCCTGGTCTACAGAGTGAATTCCAGGACAGGCTCCAAAACTACAGATAAACCCTATCTCAGGAAAAAAATAAAATAAGAGTTGTGTTGTTTTCCTCTGAAACTCTGCACAGCTCCCATTATCTACCAAAGGAAAACTAAACTTCACCTGGCGTTAGAAATCCTTCACGTCTAAGACTCCCTTGTTCTTACCCCTCCCAGGCTTATGAGTTCCTCCTCCATTTCTTGTCACTAAGCCTTTGCCTCTGAACCAAATCTCCTCAGAATACTTGTCAGCTTGGCATGGGTGAGCATATGAAATGAAATACTGCCAGACTTTTCTGACCCCAACTGGTTTCCTTGCACCCTCCTGCCCATCACTGCCCATCAGCACCACTGTCCTCCAGTGCCCTTGCTCAGCTGCCCGTCACGTGAAACCCAACACCTGCTGGCAGGCTGGCAGGTTGTGAGGGCTGAGAGGGACATAGGAGGAGCTGTTGTCTAGGCTTGTGTGTGTGTGTGTGTGTGTGTGTGTGTGTGTGTGTTTGTGAGTATGTGTCTATGTGTGTCTGTGTGGATGGGCTTAATCTTGGAAGTGGGAAGAGGACCACCTGCTTCCTGTGGGCTAGGACACTGGGACACAGGCCATACTTGTCCCAGGGCTCCCAGATCCTCTCCCAAGTCCCCATGTCTCATTCCCTTATCGCTCTGGTTCCCAGCCTTCTGGGTCCTGCACTTGAGTCCCAGCCTCAGATTTCCTACCAGCTTCTAGACCTCTTTCTTATCATGGGCACCTTAGCATTCGCTGGGGTCTGGCTTCCAGAGGCTGTGGGTGCACCCCTAGCTATGTCTTGCTTCTCCACTCCTTTCCAAGCTTGGCATCAATGCTGCCTCCTCCAAGAAGCCCTTTTGGATTTTTCCCAGTTCTTCTTTGAGCTCCCAGGTCGGTCTTTTTGCACCAAGGTCTGGGATTCTCTTGTTGGCAGCCCTCCCTCTGTTCTGCCTGGTAATCCCAGAACAGGCCACACTGTCCAGTGCCAGCACCATATCCAGCCTGTGGTCAGCTAGTGTGGGCTGGGCTCAGGGGAAGCCCCTGGCTAAGTCCATTCCAGCTTTCACTGCTTCCTTCTCTCCATCTAATTGGTACCCACCCTTGTCACCAGCTGCTTCGAGCCTGCAGACTGAATCTGCTGCTCCTGTCTTGCCAGACTTCCTTGGGATCCCTGCTTGCTGGTGAAGGCCCTTGTGCTGAGCAAAAGCTACAGAAGATAGCCCCCATGCCATGGCAGGGTGTGTATGGCAGAAGGAGGGATCAATTCTTCCTCTCTGCCCACCCACCTTCTCTGCTGTGGCCTCAGCCTCTGCTGGCCTCGGAGCTCAGCAAATGGCTCTTCCTGCATGGTGACAGTAGGGGCAAGCCTGTAGGTCTGGGGAAGGGTAGTTGCTTAGTGTTCTATCTCCTCTGGGACCTGACAGCTCCTTTGCCCTCAAGGAAACATCGAGATTACATGTATGAAAAGAGCAGAGGGTCTGGGGTGCTTTCTTGTCGCTCCAAGTCCAGCCTATGCTTCTCCCAGCAGGGGTTAGGTGGGCAAAGGCAAGATCACCCAGTAGGTCGCTCAGCTTTGGGGAGGAGAGCTTTGTCCTTGTCACTGCACAGGCAGGGTGGGTTCCTTAGGGGTGTGGCCTCGGAGGCTGAATTTCCCTTCTTCCCCCAAATTAAAGGGTCTCTTGGTTTGCAGAGGCTAACAGCACCCGGTGAGACTCATCTCCATGGCTTCTGCGGGTCCTCAACATTCTTATCTGTAAAACTGGAGTGAGCAACACATCCATCTTGCAGGCGTGAGGACTGTGGCATCTCCTACACACATCTGGGCATGAGACATACTGCACCTTAATTTTTATTATTAGTCAGAACAGATCTCTGACCAGCACGAGGTTCATCCCCAGACATATTGCAGGGCCCTGATCCTGGTGGCGGGTGGCACCCTGCATGTTGGATGCTCAGTCTAGAACACTCTGCAAGTGGCTTTGCATCTTCAGTCTATCCTGGTCATGGAGGTATTGCAGCCTTCTTCATTGCTGAGTGGGACACAGGTTCTTATCTGGGAGCCTGACACAGCCACTGCCCAGAGAGGGTGACTTGCCACATCCTGCCACCCCACAGAACAAACCAAACCTCTTCTCTCTTGTAAGGATGCTCCCCACTCTTCACTTAACCTGATCCCACACAGAGACAGGGAAAGGGGGAGGAGACTCTTTGAAGTTCTCCACTTTAATAACACCTGTGAGTGGGAAGTCTTTGTATACACTATTGTCATCCTTGCTAACTTTTATCGTATGAAGTAAAAAAGAGGGGTGGGGACTATTTTACATGCAGCGGGTGACAAAGCATTTACTTGCACGTTTTGTCAATGCGCTTAGAAACGTGTGTAAGTTGAGCGCAGCAGGGATTGCTGTATGAGTGAAAGGAATGCATAGAGTCGTCATGTGATCTGCCTGAGGTCACCCACTGTCATAGAGGGCCACATTTGAATGTCCCTATCCATCCACCTAGAAGGGGCGGAAACAAACAGGCTGCCAGGACATGAGTTGGAGGAAGCTGGCAACTAAGCTTGAGGTTAGGCCAAGGGGAGCTGCCAATAAACCAAGTAGGTGGGCAGTAATAAAAGAGAACAAAATAGATTCTATTGTCTGCAAAAAATGTAATAATAGTGCATAGTTATTGATGGTCAGCCCAGTGAAGGCCAGGCGGCATGTTAATATGTGACTTACCGTAACCCTGCTATTGTAACCATTACCTTCCTGCCTGTCATAGGCCTGATGTGCAGAAGTCACATGGGAAAGGTCACCCGAGGGTGACCCTTTAGTCCATAAATGACCTCATAATTGGTCCCATCGCCTGATGAGGAGGCTAAGCTTATATCTGTGAGATGGAATAATAGTAGTGACAGACACTGAGGTTCCCTGTCTGCTGTGCCTCATGCCCACCCTCAGGCAAGCTGAAGACAAGATGAGATTAAAGATGCAGACATCTATGAGGACCTGGTGTACCCCTGAGAGATGATGGGGTGCAGGGCTGGTGAGGTGAATCAAAGGGTAAAGGGGCTTACTGTGTGTTCCAGTTTCATCCTGAGGCTGTGATAAACAGAGTGTTTAGCCATTATTTGGCTTATGCTTCCGGGTCACAGTCCCTCACTGAAGGAAGCTGGGACTGGATCTCAAGGAAGGAAAAACCATGGGGGAATATTACCCTCTCTGTCTCTGTTCTCTTTTGCCTCTCTCTCTCTCCCTGTCTCTTACCTGCTTAGGGATGGTGCTACCCAAATGGGCAATGGACAATCAGGACAATTCCTTCACAGGCATGGCCACAGGCCAATCTGACCAGGAAGATCTCTCAACTGAGACTCTCTTCAGATGAGTCTAAGTTTTGCCAAGTTGGCCAGGATACCTCATAAGCCTGACTACATGAATTTGATTTCCAGGACCCACAGTGGGAGAGAATAGACCCCCTAAAATTGTCCTCTGACCTTTACATATGTACCGTGGCCACACAAACACACACACACACACACACACACACACACACACACACACACACACACACTAAAGTTAAAGAGAGAGATGAGAGCAGAGACCAGGAGAGACAGGCCAGATTGGATGGATGTAGTCAAGGCCCTGGATGTCCTTTAGTGAGTCACCCATTAGGAATGGACTGTAGAATTCCTGTCACCCGTGGGAGCAGGGCCTTGAAGCAAAGGGCAAAGCAGTGTGACTGATTCCTTAGAGCCTTGGCTGGGTGGGGACCACAAAAGCATCTCACAGCAGACTTGAGGGTGTCACCTCATGAACACACACACACACACACACACACACACACACACACACACAACCACACGGTGATGCACGCTGCCTGCCCTTGTTTTCTTCTGAGTTAAAGTCTGAGGGTTGACCCGCTAATACCATGGTACAGGTCGTGGAAGGTACATCCCGGGAGAGAGTGAGCTCTGTCTGAATTGGAAGCTGGATGCAGCGGGTGGTCAAGGACAGGGCTAAGCTCCAGACCTCCCTCTCCCTTCTCAAAGCCCTTAGCGGTTTGCTCAGGGGCACGTCAGAGGAGTGCCTTAAACCGAGCTGCAGTATCTCTACCCTAGAAATGCCAGCTCTTGGCACTGTGCCTGGTGGTGTTGTGTCTGACCCTGGGAAACTGGCTGTTGTATCCACAGAAAATCTGCCAGCTGGAGCCTGAGGGACGAGTGAAGGTGGAACTGGCCCTTCGGGCAGCTGAGGCCCTTCTGGCAACCTGCCAGGAGGGCCAGAAGCCTGAGATCCTGGCCCAGCTGAGGGATATCAAGTCCCAGTGGGAGGAGACGGTCACCTACATGACTCACTGCCACAGGTGAGGATGTCAGGGGTCCTCACAGCTGCGTGCTCAGCTTGCCCATCACTGTACCATCTTGGGACCCCTGTCTGAGTGACACTTCTTCAGGCTTAGGGGTCCTGGGAACAGCATGTCTGTCCTCTTTGGATTCAGGCCAGCGCCTCTTTCTGATAACATACAACCATAATGGTGATGATGGGTGGACACTGGAAACTTCACTCATTGCACCAGCAGTCCTAATGGGCTTGTGTATGTGTCCCTCTACAGAACATTGGGAGATGGCTCAGTGGGTAAAGCGCTTGGTATGCAAGTATGAGGACATGAGTTCAAGTCCCCAGAGCTCATGTACATCTGAACATGGTAGTGCATGACCGAACAGAGCTGTCTGCCTTCCAAACCCTTTTCTCTGACATCACAAACAAGTATCTTGATGTTGACTGCAGAGACAGGGCCATCTCCACATTAGAGAGGCAGATACTGGGGCAGATGAAGGGGCAGAGCTACCCTGAGAATTCACATAGGCCCTCAGTCCTCTATCCCTACCCAGTGGCCACTAGTTGGCCCTCAGATAGTTGTACCTAATATGAGACACAGTCTTGGGGCAATCTCCTTATTGCTTTCAGGCAGCATATGCTAAGGGCCTGGGGCCACTGTGGGCAGAGTGAGGATTTATGTCCTGGCAGTAGGAGTTCAGAGCCAGAATCTGGGGTGCTGGTGGCTTGGGGCCACCTGAGCTTCATGTCCCCAGTGGGTACATATAGAATCTGGGCTTGGCCTCATCTGGGAGATTACTTACAGGATGCAAGGTCTCATGGGAAAGGAGCGCCTAGAATCTGGAGTGTGACTCAGAGCAGAGAAGGCACCTTTATGTCCCTCTAACACGACCCTGAGTATCTGGGAGGGGGCAGCGACAGGGTCTCTATGCCCAGGATCCAGGGGCAGGCGTCTGAGCCCTGCCATCTCTCCCACAGCCGCATCGAGTGGGTGTGGCTACATTGGAGCGAGTATCTGCTGGCCCGGGATGAGTTTTACCGCTGGTTCCAGAAGATGGTGGTCACACTGGAGCCCCCTGTGGAGCTGCAGCTGGGCCTGAAGGAGAAGCAGTGGCAGCTGAGCCACGCCCAGGTATTGCTGCACAATGTGGACAATCAGGCCGTGCTCCTGGATAGGCTGCTGGAGGAGGCAGGCTCCCTGTTCAACAGGATCGGGGACCCCAGCGTGGATGAAGATGCCCAGAAGAAGATGAAGGCTGAGTATGATGCTGTGAAGGCCAGAGCCCAGGTAAGTCGTAGATGGCTCCATCGCCCATCCACCTGTCTTCCGCTCACTCATAGTCAATCCATCTGCCCATTCTCTCATCAGCCACCTACTATGAGTCTATCTGCCCACCCACTTCCCACTCAGCCTCCTGGCACCTCTGCTCCCTTCCCAAGTGTATATTGGCAAGCCTACCATTCGCTCCTTACCACCCGCCCCATCCATCCGTCTACACACTCTCCTATCCCCTACCCACCTGGGCACTCACTCATCAGTCTACCGCTCCCTAACTAAGTAGTCTATTTGTCTCTTCCGGCACTTAGCCATCTACCCCGCCCATCAAGCCATCCTCCCGTGTAGTAATAGCATCCATCTATTTTCTTGCCTGCCACCTACTCATTGTCTGCTGTCCATCCTCACCCACTTGTCCATCCATCCAGCTCTTGGTAACCCATCCAGCAGTCTTGCACCCATCCTTCCACCCGCTGTCCATATGCCCAGAAGCAGAACCCTAATCTGACTCACAGAACTGTTTATGGGACCCCCTCCCCCTCCACCACACACACATGAATGCTCCTGGGGACATGTGGCTGCCTGGGTTGCTGGCCTGTGTCAGGATGAATTGGACAAGGTAGTATCAGGTAGATACTTGGCTCTTGTAGATATTGGCCCTCTTTTGGACTACCCTGTCCCATGGCAGGCACATGAGGGATTGTCTCTCCAGGTCTGATCCTCCAAGCCTGGCTAGGAAAGGTGTCTGGCTGTCCCCTGTGACTTACAGAAACAGGTGCTCTGTCAATCAGCAGAGCCCTGGGTACAGGGAGCAGGAGAGAGGAAGTGTGAGTTTTGTGTGTGTGTGTGTGCACGTGTGAGTGGAAGATAGGCTTCAGGGGAAGTTAATTGAGTACCACTCCCACCCCAATTCTGAAGCCATCCTGGCTCATGGCCTCTGGGAGTCTCACTGTCCTCTCATAAGATCCGAAGCCCAACAGAAATCATAGTTCTCAGGGTTTAGCACTGTGTTTCCTAAGCATCTTCCGGTCTCTACCCCTTCAGTCCTCCAGCCTTCTTTCTTACAGTGTACACATACAGGGTCGATGTCAGCAGGTACATTTACACAGGCTAAAGACGAACAATAATAATTAAAAAAAAAAAAATCCAAATGTCAGTCACCACCGACCTAATGGAAAGAGCCAGAAGTTCTTGACTCCCAAGGTAGACTTGGATCCTGGGGCTGTCACTACACCTGAGTCCATCAGTAGGGTTGAAGGAGTGGGTTGGGGTGTGGCTGTTCTGAGCATTAGCACAGAGAGGGGATTTGGGGCTCCTGGAGGAGCTGGGTGTAGGGACATGAGGCCTCCATGATGAGACCAGCTGTGAACCCTTGACTTTCTCTTCTTGAACCCCAGAGGGGTTAGAGGGAGTGTTTGAAGTAGTCCGATGGTTTTGGAAAACCCAAAGGTGGCTTGGCCCATGTGACATCACACTCAGATGTGTGTGTGTGTGTGTGTGTGTGTGTGTGTGTGTGTGTGTGTGTGTGTGTGTTCTTGCAAGCTGAAAGTGGGTATTGGATCTCATGAAGCTGAAATTACAGGCACTTATGAGCTGCCTGACATGGATGGTGGGAACCGAATTTGGATCCTGTGTAAGAGCAGCAAGTTCTCTGAACTACTGAGCTGCCTCTCCAGTCTTCTCTCCTTCTACCCCGTGCATCCTGGCTGTCAGGTTTGGCAGCAAGGGGACAGTTACCTGCTGAGTCATCTCAACACCCCGGTTTGTTTTTATGAATGTCCAACATGTGAGACAGTGAGCCTCTGATATGGGTGGGGACAGGACCACCCCCTTTGGCTTCGGGGACCACCCCTAAGAAGCTTCTAGGCCCAGTGTAGATGTGAGCAACAAGAAGGAAGCACAGGCAGGCCAGCTTGTGCCAGAAATGTCTTCCTTGTTTGATTTGAAACCATTGCTTCCGACTGGCAAACAGCAACATCCTCCCTCTTCCGCCTCTGAGAAGGGCTGCCTGGCATCAGGCCATGGGTCCTAGACTTTCTGCAGCCCTTTTTGGGGGGCATAAATCCAAGCCACCCGGTTAATTGCTTGGGTTTCAACATTGCTGATAACTCTGCTTGCAGCCGATGGTTTAATTGTTTGGTTTAATGAGAAGGCGGAGCCCTCAGCCACTCCTTGCCCTGTCACCCTCCCACTGGCTGAGCTGGCTTTGAAATGGCTGTGCCTGGTGCTCAGCTAATCTGGATTCCTGCCTACCACCACTTCTTGCCAGCGCCTGCTCCTCATCACAGGGACTTTTATTTACTCTGGATTTTACTGGGTGCCAGCACCTCATCATTCACACAGGCAGTGATAACCACCATCCTGGGAAGGGGGGTCCCTACCCACCCTCATCTATCACCTTCAGCATTAGGCTTCTGAGGTTCCTGGTAACCCACTGTGACTCATCCGTGAGCTCTTCCTGGGATTGGAGGAGCTGTGTGTGCAAACCACACCACAGGAAGTGGGGACCATTAAGGGAACTGAAGAGGCTCCATCAACTTTCTGAAGGTGGAGGGCTGACCTGTGAAGGCAGTGGTCCCCGACAAGGCTCTACTTTGGGATGCAGGTGGTCCTTATCTTGAGATTCTCAGCTCTCTCCTAAGTAACCTGGTTCCTAGTCTTGGCTACCCCATCTCTGAAATGGGGAGATTTTCTTCTGCACAGACTGCTGGGGAAGGTTTTCAGATCCACCTGCCTGCCCTCCTCAGTGGAGGGCTTGTGACTCAGTTTCCTACAGGCTCCAGGTCTTCCTAGACATGTAAGGTCACCAACCTTTGGCTGTTGTCTTATCTGGCTTTACATATTACTGCTTGGTGTTGGGTTAAGAACAGTTTACAGGTGTTTAAACGAGCAGGACAAATTTAGAAGCTGATTATTTCACGACATGCAGAAGTGAACGGAGTTCAGGTTCTAGGGTTCACAATGAAAGGTTTCATAGGAACAGGGCCGTTCTTTTCCCCGCTGTCTGGCTGCTTATGAGGCACAATGTGAGTAGCTCCCGAGTGAGTAATGGCAGTAGAAGCCACATGACAGGAAAAGCCAGAAGCAAAGCATTTGGCTTGATAGAAACAGCCTGGGGTCCCCCAGCTTGAGAGTTCCCCCTTTATCCATATGTGAGGATGGAGAATGCACTGCAATGGTTGCTGTCTGGCTCTCAGCTTGGGCTCTGGAAGAGTCCTAGACTCGCCTGACTTCAGTGTGCGCCTTTTCAGGACAGTGACCCTATTTAATACCCGTTGTTCTATGATCCATGGGTGTTAAGAAGGTTGTGGCTAGCAGGGCGTTGGTGGCTCACGCCTTTAATCCCAGCACTCGGGAGGCAGAGGCAGGCGGATCTCCGTGAGTGCCAGGATAGGCTCCAAAGCTACACAGAGAAACCCTGTCTCGAAAACAAAAACAAAAACAAAACAAAAAAGAAGAAGAAGAAGAAGAAGAAGAAGAAGAAGAAGAAGAAGAAGAAGAAGAAGAAGAAGAAGAAGAAGAAGAAGAAGAAGGTTATAGCTTTTGGATGTGCAGCCACACAAGGTGCACAGTGAGTGAGTCGCCAGATGCTTTCCTGCAAACTCCCTCTGACTTACTTTGCTCCTATAGTGCTGCAACGCAAACTCTGAAGTGAAAACTTCCTAGGGAAGAAGATCACTCACCCGGCTTTTACTCTTCCCGGTCGGTGCCCATCCAGGGAAGTCAGGACAGGAACTGAAGTGGAACCCACAGAAGGATGCTCCCATTTTGCTTTTTGGCTTCCTCTCTAGGTCGCGCTCAGCTATCTTTCTTATACAGCCCAACCCTCCACATCTCTGGCCGTCCTAGTTGGGTGACCTTGGGCATGTTACTTCACTCTCTGGGCCTCAATGTCCTTGTCTGTCAAGTTGAGATAAAAATGACAACCCCTTATTGGATGGGCAGGGAGTTTACAGAGTTTGCATGGAACATTCTTAGCAATGCCTACAACAGGGCGAGCGGTAAAGGCGAGGGCAAGGACAATGGCTCAGGGGGACAGCGTTCTGTGGATGGTGTTACTCCCTCACCCTAGTCAAGTGGCATTCCTCAGACATATTGGGAAAGAATACCATCTGTACGGCTGGCGATGGCAGGTGCTGGTATGTGTGGGACTCCAGTGCCTGGTTCTGACTCTAGCATCCCTGATGGGCACTCTCACACATCCCTGTAGATCCCACCCCCACTCCCTGACAAGCAGGTTATTGCTCTCTGACCTTAAAGCGCCCCAGCCACAGGCAGTGGGCTCCTCGCCAGGCTGGGGACCCTCATGGCAGGCGATTCCTCTTGCAGCATAGGGTGGACCTCCTGACCCAAGTGGCCCAGGAGCATGAGCAGTACCAGGAGGGTGTGAACGAGTTCCAGCTGTGGCTGAAGGCGGTGGTGGAGAAGGTACACAGCTGCCTGGAGCGGAACTGCAAGCTAACTACGGAGCTTCGCCTCTCTGCACTGCAGGTACATCACTGTGACCCAGGCAGGACACTGAGTCCCAGCTAGCGTGTCTTAAGGCCTGGCTGAGGGAGAGCCTACATGTTGCAAATGGGGATTATATTAGTTTCCACACCAGACGCAGACCCCCACAGCCCTCAGCAAAGACTCCTGGGAAGAGAGTCGGGGAATCTAGTACAAAACATTTGGGGTTGTGGCTGACAGATCGGACACTTGGACTTATAGGATTCCAGTAGCCTGGTCTAGACCCATGGGTCTCGGTGCGGGGCACATGGTAAGTCAGGAGGCATTTTTATTCATTACAAGTCTGAATAGGTGTTGCCCCTGGCTCTCAGAGGATGGAGGCCAGGGATGCAGCTACACACCCTACAGTGGCAGAGTAGTACCTCAGTGGAGAATCATCCCACTCAAATGCCAATCATGCTAAGATGAAGAGCTTTGGGTGGGCACCGTGCTGTGGCCAAGGGAAGTGGGTCCATGCCACCTTTCACACTGTATGGCCCTGGGGAAGCCTCCAGATCCTGCACCTAGTAAGTGTATGCAAGGGTTTTGGCACCAGATGTATGCAAAAGAGGTGCAGTTAAAAAAAAAACAAACCTGCTGAATTTGACTATTCTGTGGTATGATTAAGGGGAAGGTTTTCACTGAGAGAGAGAAAACAGTCACCCATCTGGTAGAGTCCAGGACAGAAAAAGAAAGAAATAGACTGAACATGTCCAGCAGACTGGATATGGCTAGGGCTGGCTTCAAGAAAGGGGAGATTAGTAGGGATAGAGAATGGAGAGCGCATAGTGAGACTAGCAGGAGCTGAGAATAGTGAGGATAGCCCGGTTGTAGAAAGAAGAGTATGGCCCAGACTGAGCTCCTTTCTGGATGTTTGCACTGCCTGTTGGAGTCTGGAGAATTGGAGCTTCCTTTGGACCAGACAGCAAGTTATCTTCATCAGTTCAAGAGCCATTTCTTAGCTTTCCCTACACTGTGTGCTGGGCTTGTTAGTTCATATTTAAATCAACTGGCCTTTGAAGAAGGTGGTGAACATTGTTAGAAAGAAAACTGAGAGTCAGGTGGAGGTGCACAGGCGTTAGCCCAATGTCTGGGGGTTTAAGGTGGGAGGATTGCAACTTTGAGGCTAGCTTGGGAAAGATAAATATAAATAAGTATGTATGCCTATAATCAGATCCTGTCACAGAAAAAGGAGACAAAAGAAAACTTGAGTCACTGCTGTAAATGGCAAAGCCAGTACTATTCATAATTAATATAGAAACTTAAAAACCAGGCATGGAGCTGGGCGGCAATGGTGCACACCTTAAATCCCAACACTCAGGAGGCAGAGGCAGGCGGATCTCTGTGAATTCAAGGCTAGCTTGGTCTAGAGAGTGAGTTCCAGGACAGCCAGGGCTATAAAGAGAGAATCTGTCTCGAAAAACCAAAACCAAAGCAAAAAACCAACCAACCAATCAAACAACAACAACCCCCCCAAAACAGGTGTGGTTACATATACTTGTAATCCCAGCACCTGGGAACTCCAAGAATCAGAAGTTAAAGCCATTTTCAGCTATTTATTGAGGCCAACCTGAGCTACAACAGCCACACACACATTCTCCATATATCTGCACAGATACAGCGATATAGACATGCATTTAAAGTCTAGCTAGATATCGCATACACACACATACAGTGAGGCTCAGTGCCCCTGATTCTTTGGGCATATCTTGCTGATGGCTTCAAGTTGATTTGTTTTAAACATTAGCAAATGTCAGACAGTGCTGAAGACAGACATACTCAACAGAGACACTCAGTGGCTTGGAAGAAACTGGAGGGAATAGTTCCCATTTACACGTCCACAGTACCTAGGGCAGACCATCCACCCTTGGCATGATCCCCAGGTCTGTCCTGAGAGCACAGCTAACCTTTGCTTTCCTGCTGTCTCCCCCTCAATCACCCTGGACAGGACATCGCCAAGGATTTCCCCAGGGGCGAGGAATCTTTGAACATATTGGAGGAGCAGGCTGAGGGTATCATTCAGAACACCTCTCCCTTGGGTGCAGAGAAGATCTCAGGGGAGCTGGAGGAGATGCGGGATGTCCTGGAGAAACTGAGAGTCCTCTGGAACGAGGAGGAAGAGAGGCTGCGGGGCCTGCTCCAGTCCAAGGGGGCCTGTGAGCAGCAGATCCTGCGGCTGGAGGCGGAGCTGGGAGAGTTCAAGAAAAGCCTCCAGAGATTGGCCCACAAGAGCTTGGAGCCCGTGATGAAGACAGCCACAGAGGATGAGCTGGTGGCCCACTGGAGACTGTTCTCGGTAAGCACAGGGGTGCACTGGGCCTCAGGTTGCCACTTGGAGATACTCTATGACAGAGAGTCATAATCGGCCTTACGCACACTCTCTGATCCTTTGGCACCTGAGCTCCCGGAAAGGGTCATTGAGAAGGAAGGTGTTTATTCTCATTTTTCAGAAGAAGAAACTGAGGCCTGAAATATTTTTCCCCCCTTGCAATCCCTAAAGCCACACAGTAAGTTGGTGGCTAATTAAGACCCAAGGAACACAGGTCATGCAGACGTGGGCTTGGAAGCTCTTTCCTTACTCATTATGGGATAAGGGACGAGTGTTCTGGCCGGGAGCAGTAAGGTTAGAGGTGGAAGGAAGCACATAGTGGAGAGATGAGAGGCAAACACAGGGCGGGCAGGGTCTGTGGAGGTAGAGCAAGGACACCCATTTGGGGAAGCTGGTGTGAGCCCCTATCCACTCGGGAAGTCTCAGTCACCTTCATGTTACTATAACAACAGCAGCACCAACCGACTTACAAGGAACAAAGTTTTGCTGCAGCAAATGTTCCTGAGGAGTTGTTAGAGATCCAGTGACTGCATTTCTTTGGGCCTCTGGCAGGGCCAGCCTACCATGGTGAGAGTCTGTGGCAGAGTAAACCATTCACCTCCTAAGCCAGGAAGTAGGGCCAGCCAGGAAGACAAGACAAGCAGGCCCTTATGGACCCCTTCAATGTCACACCTCCTGAGACCCAAGGACTACCCCGGGGCCCTTCCTCCTCAAATCTCACAGCCCTGCTGCCAGCACTGTTCAAACCATGGCAGGATTGCTGATGGGTGTTAGATAAAGATTCCCAACACTCCCCAACCCCTTACTTTGTTGTTAATACTAGGATTTGGTCGAAGGAAATATCTGAAGCTGTTGCTGAGGCTCAGTGGTAGAACTTTAATAGCTTGTACCAGACTCTAGGTTCCTCCCCTAGCCCCTCAAGTGGGCAGCCATTAAAGGAAGTACCTTAAAAAAAATGAAAGTCGCTTCTATCTCTCTTCTTTCTGCTCCTCCATGGTACTAAGGTGTTCCCCTCTGTCCTTTACACACTTGGGAGCTTTTTTCACCCAGCCTCCCAGCAGGCCAGGCCACACTGCATCTTTCTACAAAGGGGACCACGACTTCTCAAGGGGCACCTGCTTCAGTCTGAGTTGGAGCGTGGTACAGTGGTTAAGAGTGGGGATTGTGGAACCGGACTGCATGGGTTCTGGCGGGTTCCTCTCTCCTGGTAGCTTTGGAGGAAAGGTTTTAACTTTAGGTGTATGTGAATTGGGAATAATGGCAGGAGGGACAGAGAAAGGGCTTAGCACCTAAAAATGCTGGTGCTTGAGAGGCACTGGTTTTTAGCATGAGTCCTGCTTGCTAACCAATGTTCCACATTGTCTAAATCCCTTCTGTTGGAGCTCTGTGCTTCATAGCTATCATTTTCGTTAGTGCCAGGGATTAGACCCAGGTGGGAGCCTACAGTTTAAGATACCCCAGCACCAGAGGGCAAGGCTGTGTCCAATGGGAGCAACTGCAGTAGAATGGAGCTAGATGTCACAGTGTCACTGTGGGGAGGGTGACACCATGTGTAACCGGGCTGCTACAGGGAAGGGATCAGGGGCTGAGCCTAAGGTAAGATCCCCCAGTCCATGCCCTTAGTGACAAGATCCTCCAGCCTGGCCAGTCCCCAGCCTCTACTCAGCCCCTGCGCACACACCGTCATTCCCCCAAGGAGCCTTGCCAGCTCCTGGTTGTCATGTCTTGCAGGGGACACAGGCTGCACTGGCTTCAGAAGAGCCCCGTGTAGACCGGCTACAAACTCAACTGAAGGAACTTGTCACCTTCCCCGACCTGCAGTCACTCTCTGACAGCGTGGTGGCTGCCATTCAGGAATATCAAAGGTACCCAGGCAGGTTGAGGGTAGGCAGGACTAGGGGTGGGTGGGACTCAGGGTGCTGGATACTTGGCTTCCTGTGTGTGGAGGATGGCGTGTTCGGGGATGGCAAGTCTCTACTCAGTGGAGACTGCCTGCTCCTCATTCTTGCATTTGGCTCCCAGCAAGAGGTGTGTGAGCTTTGCTTTTCATGGCTCCGAGGCTCGTTTGCCTGGGTCTTGAGTGGCTGGACGGTGGGAGGGCTTTGCCACGCAGTGTCGTAAGGGAGGGCTGCTATGTTAGTGAACACTACTCCTCTGCTTCCGACCATGCTGAGACTTAAGTACCAGAGCATCTCTTCAGCAATGCCTCTGATCGCCTCTCTGCCCATGCATACAGTTGGGCTCAGCAAAGAGTAGAGCATAGCCTCCCTCTGCAGAAATGAGCATTGCACATTCAGGGTGCTCACCTATTTTTTGCAAGAAGGCATCCTAAAAACAGCTCAGCCATCCCAATAGCACCCCTATAGTAACCTTATTCCCCTGCCTGGTTATGAGGGATTCCTTTAGAGTGGACACAGGAGCTTCATCTGGCTGTGCCTCTCATCCACAGCTGTTCATAGGCTCCACAGCTGTAAAATTGGGAGAGTGCCTAGATCCCACTGCCGGATGCTGAAGCAGGGCAAGGCTGGGACTTGGACTTGCTATATACAGAACCAACAAAGGCTCAGTAGCCACGGGTCTCCTCTCCCTCAGCTTGGTCCGCGAAGTTATTGGATCCGGGTTGCTTTATCTGGTGTTGGGTCTTGTATGTGAAAACTTACTGATAGGAAGTAGCTGGGCCTGGCATGATATCTTAACCAGGGTTGAGTTTGGATTGACTGGGCAGAACCAGGTTAGGTCTCCATAGTTTACCCCCAAGGCTTTTGGTCTCCTGCCTTGAAGCTGGGATAGCTCTGTGTGAAGACAACACATAACAGTGCTCTTTTATCCAGAGAGCCTAGCTTTCAAGCTTCAAGAAGGGTATGGCTGTCAGAACATGCCGCCTTTAGTGTCCTCACTCTGAGGGCTGGCACAGGCTAGCTCATTCCGCAGCACCTTCTTCCAGGTTGACAAATGCCCTCAGGCTCAAAGTAAATCTGGGTCCCAGACCCACGTTCTCACCATTTATTTCTTTTAAAACTTGGATTAAGCTCTTGTTTGGTTCTAAGTGGGAAGGGCAGCCTCCTAGCTTTCTGTTACTGGAAGCCTCCAGTGTTACAAATGTCCTTGGGAGCAGTGTGCAGGGAGCAGTGTGAAGGGCATCTAGGATTACGAATGTTTCTAGCAGCGGTGTAAAGGGCAAACTCCTTCTTCACATGAGGAAACTGGGCCTTGACAGTTAAGCCACACAGGTCACAGCTGCTCTGCCTGACTCTAGACTCCCAGCTTTTCAGATATTGGGGACCCAGAGGATACTTGTGTACCTCATTTTCTTGAGCACCTCCAGGCCTGAGGGAGTTGAGGGTCTGTCCTCAGGAAGACCCCAGACATGTGGTCAGTGCTATTTTGTCTCAGTGCTCACAAGTTCCCACCCATTTCCTATGTGTGTGTCAGTACACACTCGTAGCAGCCCATGTGTTAGGAGGGCATTCCCTGCCCCGGCAGCCTGGGCAGAGGCCTCACCCAGGACTGATCTCACTCTCTGCTCTCCGGGTCTGCGCCCTGTGCTGCCCTGGCAGTATGAAGGGAAAGAACAGCAGGCTCCACAATGCAACCAGGACAGAGCTGTGGCAGCGTTTGCAGCGGCCTCTCAATGACCTGCAGCTGTGGAAGGCCCTGGCCCAGAGGCTCCTGGACATCACCACCAGTCTGCCGGACCTGCCCTCCATTCATACCTTTCTACCCCAGATTGAGGTAAGCAGGTTTTGTGGGGCTGGGGAGGTGCTGGCCCAGGGTGTGGCATCTCAGCGGCTCTTCCAGGGACAAGTGCACACCTGGCTCCCCGAGATACCTGGGTCCAGCTCTGTATCAGCCAAGTACCGAGTGTACAGGAAAGGTCATCACTTGTTCTCAGGGACAAAAGTTGTCCTTAGTTCTCCAATAGAGCCAAAGCCTGGTGTGACTTTCACCAACCTTCTGGAAGCTACATGGAATTTTGTCTCCCTTGAGGACCCACCATAGGTAGAGTATTAAATGGCTCTGCAAGAGAGTGCTGTAGCTGTTCATTGCCTTCATTGCATCTTCAGCGACAGCTTGATCAGTGGGGACTTCAAACACAGAGGTCATCGGGCCAATTTAATGGGTCAACAGTGCCATCTGGAACCCAGGCTCTCCATGCTCCAAGGCATGTCTCTTTCTGGCCCCCCACTTATACCAAGTAGCGAGTAGATTTGTTATTGGTGCGAAACGCATAGGGGCCCGAGGACTCCCTCCATCACCGTTTTCACTGCTAACAAGGAGATAAAGCCTTCCTGGGAATCTTTCATCTCATTGGTCGGGCAGGTCCTGTGACTACCCTTGAAACCAGTGCCTGGCTGAAGATGGTGAAATTGTCATGATTGGCTGTGTCAGTGACACTAACAATTCTGGACCTTCAGTTGGGCACAAGACAAATGTTGGCTGTTTGGAGAGAGAGGGATGGTTACAGGGGGAGCATTTGGCAGCATCCACCACAGAGTCCCTCAACACTGGGGCTTTGATTAGCTCATAAACCCTGCTTTGTGCTACCATTGAGCTCTCAGTCCATGAGATGCTCTTGTGTCCGGGATTCTCAGACACACAGAGCAGAGAGAGGCATGAAAATGTGCTAGGTGTCAACTGCATTTTATATTAGTTTTTGTTCTGATTATAAAAACATGCCTACATTCCCCTGAAAGCATAAAGATTTCTGAAAAATTAAACAAAAATAGTTTACCCACCACCCCACAAAGCACAGGACCATCATCAACATATCAGAGTGGTTTTCCCCTCACCGTTCTGGCTTACTGGGTGTTGCTGGGAGAATCTTTACTCAGGGTTGACCCTGCTCCCCCTGTAGGACACTGCTCAGCCTGCAGCTTGGAGCTTGCACATGTGTGAGCCTGAGGTTGATGCTGGGAATAACTGATTGCTCTTCACCTTATTCACTGGAGCTGGAGTTCACGGGTGTGGCTGGTCTTGCTAGCCAGCTTGCTTTAGGGATCCCTGCCACCTCTGCCTTCATAAGCTGAGATTACCATTGGGCCACCACACCCATTTGGGTTTCTTGGGATTCAAACTCAGGTCCTCAGGCTTGTTTAGCCAGCACCTCAATTGTTGAGCTGTCTCCCCAACTTTAATCTCTCCCTAATTATTTATTTTATTTAGTTTTTTTTTTTTAGTTTTTGAAACAGGGTCTCACTCTGATGAAATTCATCCCAACCTTTCCATGTGATAGACAGAAAAATCTAATTAATTTACAATTTTTGTGTATTAAGGATCGTGTCATATAGCTGTAGACTTTGGAGATGAAGGCAGGAGAATTGCTATGAGTTCAAGACCAGCCTAGGCTATTTAGTAATCTTCAGGCCCGCCTGGGCTATAGAGTAAAACCTTGCCTTGAAAAAAGTCTATTGTCTCCCAGTTCTCAAGGCCAGAAGTCCAAAAGCAAGGTGTTTTCAGGAATTTCAGAAGGTCTGTGGTGATGGTCTCTGTGGAACAGTGGTTCTCCACCTGTGGGTCGTGACCCCCACAGGGTCAGAGACCCTGAATATCAGATAATTACATTATGATTCATAACAGTAGCAAAATTATGGTTATGAAGTAGCAATGAAAATAATTTTATGGTTGGAGGTCACCACAACATGAGGAGTTGTATTAAAGGGTCACAGCATTAGGAAGGTTGAGAACTGCAGGCGTAGAGGCTGGTGAGGTGTGGGGGGTCAGCTCTGGGGCACCAGCTTAGAAGCAACAGGCAGGCAGGTTCTGTGGTCCAGGGGAGAGAGGCTGAGCGTGTGCCATAGCTGGTGGTGGTGGTGATGGAGGGGACAGGGTTTCCCAGACAGGAGGGGGATGAATTATTTCTTGGCCTTTGGTAATGAGATGCTGAAATTCAGGGCATCCTCCCAGTGTATTCCTGTCATTCTGCTTCTACTGTACTGCTTCTTCCAACACCTGCAGAGTCACCGCTCCCACACAGCAGTGGTAGGAAACGGTGTAAGCTTGGGACTACCTGGCTGTCTGAGGTGCATGGGTACCTTGTCTCCCACAGGCGGCCCTAGCCGAAAGCTCCCGCCTGAAAGAGCAGCTGGCGATGCTGCAGCTGAAGACGGACTTGCTGGGTAGCATCTTCGGCCAGGAGAGAGCAGCCGCTCTCCTGGAGCAGGTGGCAAGTTCTGTGAGGGACAGAGACTTACTGCATAACAGCCTTCTGCAGAAGAAGAGCAAACTGCAGGTGAGCGCATCAGCCGCTCCGCCCTGGAGCTCAGCCAGAGGCCGGGCACAGCCCTTCTTGGTATTCTGATTTCAGCTCCACCCCTGCCCAGTGGCTCCGGATATATGCCTTGGTTTCCCACAACCTCAGGTTTTGTGTCTGTAGCTAGGGCAGGACCCTCATGTGACCCCTCTCACTGGCTCCCTAGTCACCTGTCTGCTGCTGGTCACTCCTACCCCTGTTCTCTATGTTTCAATCAAGTCTCGCTATCTTCTGCAGAGAGGATGGACAAGCAGAGATGGGGTGGGCGAGAAGGCTCGACCAGTGAAGGTGCTAGCTGCCCAGCCTCTACCTGATTTCAATCCCCAACTCCTACAGTTGTCACCTGACCTTCCATGTTTATGTATGTGCGTGTGTGTGCATGCACACGCAATATATACATAAATGAATTAAATGTAGTAGAAAATGCAGATGCAAGTGTTTGCTGATTTTAACCCACCATGATCCTAGGAGTGAGTGTAGGTGGAGTTTTTCATCAGGACTGCTGGCCAGCTCCCGAAAAACCACACAGACTTAATATTAATTATAAATGCTCAGCCGATAGCCTAGGCTTATTACTAACTAGCTTTTCCAACTTAAATTAACCCATATTTCTTACCTATGCTCTGTCACATGGTGGTACCTTTTTTTCAGCACAGCATATTCATCTTGCTTCTCTCTGCATCTCCTAGCAACTCCTCCCTTTTCTCCCCAGGCTCTCTTTTTGGCTGCATGTCCCGCCTAACCTTTTCCTGCCTAGCTATTGACCAGTCAGCTCTTTAGAGTAATACATATTCACAGTGTACAAAAAGATTGGTACACAGCAAGTGAACGTTATTAATGGCATGCTCTTGACTGCATTAAGTCAGAGCAAATGGCTTGGCACTCTGCAGACAGCCTGTTCTAGCTGCCAAATGTTTGCTGAGTGGCCAGTTATACCGATAATAATAGCTACGGTCTACAGGTGTTGGCTCTGAGCCAGCCAACTGCTAATCTTTGTCCAGCTGACACTATGGGGGAGGTGCCACCGGTTTCCCTGTTTTACAGGTGAGGAGAGTCTGTCAGGTATCTCATGGTAGAGGAGTCAAGGTTCAGGCTGCATCACCTAACTCCAAGCCCTCAATCTTACTTCATCTGCAGGATGAGGCAGGGTTGCAGGAGCTGGGGGAGCCAGAGAGGAAGTGAGGTCTTCACTCTGAAGCCATCGAGGCTGCTGGTGGAGACAGCACACAAGGGCAGTTACAGAAGGTGTCTTCAGAGCAGTCTAAGCAAAGCAAAGGTCTAGAGCAGTGGTTCTCAACCTTCCTAACACTGTGACCCTTTAATGCAGTTCCTCATGCTCTGGTGACCCCAACCATAAAATAGCGTTTGTTGCTACTTCATAACCATAATTTTGCTACTGTTATGAATCATAATGTAAATATCTGTGTTGTCCAATTGTCTTAGGTTCCCTGTGAAAGGTTCATTCGACCCCAAAGGGGTCTCCACCCAAAGGTTGAGAACCTCTGATATACAGGCTGCTTTTGCTGCTGCTGCTGCTGCAAGGGCCCAGGCAGTGGAGATGCTGGTGTCTGCCAGGCAGTTGGCCCAACTCTGCCTCTATAGCACAGAATCAAACGGAAATGAGTAGGCGGGGCTGAATCTAATAAAATCTTATTTATAAACAAGCTTCTGGTGAGAATTGGTGTATGGGGGAGGGATGTTGGTTTAAAGTGTGGTAAGACAACACTAGAGTGGCCCGTCAGAGACGGCTTTCAAGAGGAGATGGATCCAGAGGGAGTATAGTGAGAACCACCCAGCCCAGTGTCAGTTCTTACAAGGTGCTGTGAGAAAAATACTTCATTTGTAGTTCTATTTGCAGAGCCTGCTCGCCCAGCACAAAGACTTCGGGGTGGCTTTTGACCCCCTCCACAGGAAGCTCCTAGACCTCCAAGCCAGGATCCAAGCAGAGAATGGGCTTCAGCGGGACCTTCCTGGAAAGCAGGTCCAGCTCCTAAGGTTGCAGGTGAGGAGTAGCTCTGTCACCTGGAACACTGTTGCCTGCGCGGGCACTCCCCCTTCTGGCAGCAAGCTGCAAAGCAGTAGCCCGCCTGAGCCCGAGGTCTTTACTGCAGACCTGACTCAGTAGATACCAGCTTATTCAGCTGGCAGTTCCTGGGCTGGGCTGTCAGCACACCCAAGTGAGTCGGCAGGGGCTGCAAGCAGTTCTTTTGTTTGCCCTTGGGTTCCGAAGTCTGAACAACGGCACTCAGTTTGGTTCTCCTTTTATTCAGTTTGGGACTTCAGCCAATGGGGTGGTGCCATCCACATTCAATGTAGGTTTTCCCTCTTCCGTTAAGTCCTATTTGGAAACACCCCACAGACATACCCAGAGGGGGTCTCCTAGATGATCCAAATCCAGTGAAGTTGACAATGAGTACTAACTATCGTGTGAACTATTTTTGTTGAGTCCGGAGACTTTCAGTTGAATAAACCAATTTTGCGATTAGGAAAATGTTTTATATCATGTGTGGACTGCATGCAGGCGGGTCATTGGTAATCGCTGGTCGGCTGAGGAGCTTTACTGGTTTTTATCATGCACAAGACACAATGTTTATTGTTTCAAACCCAAACGCAGTTCCTATGTAAGCCGACAGCACTCTCTGGAAAACATTAAGCGTGGTACATTTTAGGCTCTAACACTGAAGTGAGTATAATTCTTCATAAGAGCCAATGGTCACCAAGTGAGAGTCCAGACATGAGTTTTTTCCCCAGGACGCTGTCTGGTCTTTCCTATAGTTTATTTTAGTAGTACCCCAGGATATTTGTGTCTGAATTTTAAAGATTCATTTGCCCTGAAAAGGAATCTATTGGACCACCCATGTGGTACAGCCTCTGATAGAGGGAGCATGCTATGCTGGGAACCCCAACCAGGGACTCTCCCATTCAGCCCCTACCCCACTGGGCCTCCAGCATGGAGGGGCTTCTAGATGGAGGATTTTCTGGGTGGATGGAGGGGCTTCTGGGTAGAGGATTTTCTAGATGGAGGGTCTTCTGGGATGGATAGAGGGTCTTCTGTATGGAGGGGCTTCTGGGATGGAGGGTTTTCTGGATGGAGAGCCTTCTGGGATGGAAGGTCTTCTGGGTGGAGAGCCTCCTGGGATGGAAGGTCTTCTGGGTGGAGAGCCTTCTGGGATGGAAGGTCTTCTGAGTGGACTGCCTCCTGGGATGGAAGGTCTTCTGGGTGGAGAGCCTCCTGGGATGGAAGGTCTTCTGAGTGGAAGGTTGTCAAGCTCACTTGCTCTTCTCTCTATCACAGGGCCTGCAGGAAGAGGGTCTCGATCTGGGGACACAGATAGAGGCTGTGAGGCCTCTTGCCCAGGGGAACTCTAACCACCAACACAAAGTGGACCAGATTTCCTCTGACCAGCAAGCCCTGAAGAGGTCCCTTGAGGTAAGGGACCAGTGAAGGGCCTGAGCAGCAGGGCCAGGTCTTAGACTCCTGCACTCGTAGGGCCTTTCTCCTTCCACCCTCCATTCTTTCCAACCTCTCTTTCTTCTCGTCATCATTTGTGTAACTTCTGATCGTGGAGCATTTTCTGTATGCTGGCTGTTGTTCTGGGCTGCAGTGTTCTGGGCACACACTAACAGACAGGGCCCGGCTTTCCTGGGGATTAGGTGGATGGATGGTGAATCTACCAGTAAGTGAGTGATGCCAGGGTTTCACGTTGTGATGAGGGACACAGATGGAGAACAGAAAAGGCTCCCTTGTCCCATCTGCTTGTGTGGGTACACAGTTCTTGTTTGTGTCCCCTAGCCCTGGTGGCCTCAGAGCCTTGTTTACAGCACCCTCTAGTGGCCCTCTGAGCACTTTCTGGTGCACAGGATTGATTGCATTTCCTGCAGTCAGAACCCCAGACTTTCTGACAGTTGACTGAGACAAGTAGGGACACAGGCTCCAGGCGCCCTACACACCCTGATTCAGACAGGCCTGGGTCTGCTTTTAAATTAAGCCCCAGGAGCTGAAGCTGATCCCTGGCCACACCTCAAGAAAACTCGTGCCAGCCACCCTGGCCCTGTACACCCAGTTTCCATGGTGAACACCTTCTTTTACCATTCTGAAGCTAGCAGGTGGACACACCACTCTTACAGACAATTTAGAAATGTCTAGACTAGAAAGAAATCTTTTAAACTTTATTTTTTGTGTGCATTGGTGTTTTGCCTGCATGTATGTCGGTGTGAGGGTGTTAGGTCCTGGAATTATGGACAGTTGTGAGCTGCCATGTGGGTGTTGGGAATTGAATCTGGGTCCTCTGGAAGAACAGTCAGTGCTCTTAACCTTTGTGCCATCTCTCCAGCCCCTAGAAAGAGACATCATAATCAAGTCATACATAAGTGGCTTAAGATAGTCAGGAAATATTCCCTTCATGCCACAACCACTAATGTCACATCCTGCAGCATGGCTAGCAGTACCTCTAGGGGTGAGATAACAAAGCACAGTCCTTTGTATATAGTATAGGTGTGTCCCCAGACAAGCCAGTGGTCTTGTGGAACTTCAAAGACCTCCTTGTACCTGTGTGGAGTTAGAACCTGTCTTAGTTAGGTTCCTGTTGCTGTGGAGAGACACTATGACCACGGCAACTCTTTTATTTTATTTTATTTTATTAGTTCAAGCTTGCTTCACATGTCAATCCCTTCTCCCTCTCCCTCCCCTCCCCCCAACATCCCACCTGCCCCTAGCCATCCCCCCTCCACTCCCCAGGCAGGGTAAGGCCCTCAAAAGGGGCTCCCCAAAGTCTACCACATCATCCTGGGCCAGGCCTAGGCCCTTCCCCATGTGTTACGGCAACTCTTATAAAGGAAAACATTTCATTGGGTGGCTTACAGTTCAGAGGTTCAGTCCATTATCCTGGTGGAAGATGGCAGCACGCAGGCTGACGTGGTGGTGGGGGAGGAGCTGAGAGGTCTACATCTTGATCTTCAGGCCACAGGAAATGAACTGGGTCTACACCAAGCATAACTTGAGCATCCAAGACCTCAAAGCCCACCCCCATAGTGACACACTTCCTCCAACAAGGCCTCACCTACTCCAACAAAGCCACACCTCCTAATAGTGCCACTCCTGTGATCTTATCGGGATCCATACAAACATTCAAACTACCTCAGAACCCAGTCCCAGGCCATGGCAAATAGGCTTCTAGTCTCTGTGGATATGGGCAGGCATGAGACAATTTTGGGGGAGGTGGAGCAGTTCTGTCTCCCTCCATGGAGTGGGAACAGCTTACATTGTCTGCTACTTTTGGCCCCTGATCCACTCTCAGCCACAAATGCTTCCCCAGGAGACTCCAAGAAACATGGTGATGCCATACACCAGGAACTAAGGAGCCCTGTTGGCCTAAGCGACACCTTGGGTCTGCATGAATTCACTAATCCTGCTGAGTAAACTTGCATCTGTTGTCTTGGGGGCAAAGAAAGGGAATAGAGAGATAGGTCATTGTTCTACCTTCTAGAAGCCCCTAGAAGCTTCAAACATCAGCTCCAAAAACTATATCCAAATGATGAGCTAGGCCAATCGTTAGAGGACACATTTACTGGGTGTCATTAGAAGTCCCAAGAGGGTGATATCCCATCATGGTTCTGTAAAGAGAAACTGTACCCCTTATTCAGACATTCAGTGCTTGTTAAGTCTAGTGAGTATAAACTCCTCCTTCCATCACAGCCAAGTGGCCTTCATGTCCTGTCGTCACGGTGACAAAGACGACATTAGAAAGGTTTGCTTGGTTCATAGTTCCAGGGTGTAGTTCATCACGGTTCAGGGAACCATGGTGGCAGGAACTAGAAGCAGCCACTGGGTCTTCAAGTATTAGAAGTACTTCCCTCTTCAGGAAGTAAAGAGAGATGGACTCTGGAGCGCTATGCAGACCAAGCTGGCCTTGAACTCACAGAGATCCAACTGTTTCCAGTTTTCTCCTTTTTCATGTAGCCCTGGGCCCTGGCCCATGGACTAGGGCAACTCACCTTTATGGAACATCTCACCTCAGTTAACCGAACCTAGACAATCCTTCAGAGACTGTTTCTATGGTGATTCTAGATCAGGTCAAGAAAGGTTAACTATCACATCCACAGGGAACATGTCAGAGGCCACAGGTCCCTATGGCAGGAAGCCCTGGGGGGTAGTTAGTTAGTATTGGTACCCAGGTCCTGGCACTGTGGATTCAGAGGAGCGGGGCTTAGAAAATGTTTGAAGCCATCTCTGATGAGTTGTTGTAGGTAGGTGCAATATGTGGAATGCTAACCACCACCCCCCCTTTGGGCTTATAGCCCCTTGGCAGGGGCCTGGCATCCATATTTCTGCCAGTGATTTTTTTTTTTTTTTGAGATACAAGGAGATAGGAACTTTGGAAGCCCAGCATAGAGGCTTGAGACCTTCAGGGTAATACAGTGAGAATAGCGGCAGTGGACAGGAATCTGAATGGTTCATGGTAGGCTGAAAAGGGGACCTCAGAGAGTCCCAGGCCAGGGGACCAGGAGAATGGAGATGTCCTCCTGAGGACAGTGCCTAGCTTTTTTGGAGGCAATGAAGAAGAAGGCCCATGATTCAGACTTCTGAGAAACTGACAGGCCCAGGAAACAGGATGCAGGGATGGAGGGGAAAAAAGCAAGGTAGCTTTGAAAACCTTTGAATAGAATCATAATCATATGCAGAAAAGAAAATCTCAAAGAACAAGCAGCTCCATGTAAATTCCCCCAGACAAAACCTAGGATGGTACCAGCCTGCCTCATGCCCCGCCCCTATGAACTGTCTATCCCTTACCCAGAAAGACAGCCCTGACCTCTGAGCTGTTTGTTCCACCCCTCCACACAATGCTTGCAGGAGTCTCCACCATGCTGTAGGGGGTCTCAGGCTGCTCATTGTTTTTAAAGACTATATTTATTCTTTGACAATTTCCCACATAATCAATCTTCTTCTTAACGCTACCCCCTCCCTTCTGAACCATCCCCAGCAGGTCCCCACCCCACCTTCATGCCCTTTTCCTTTTTTAAAAATTGTCATCCACTGAGTAGTTAGTGCTGCCCACATGGGAAGAGGTGCTTGGCCATCTACCCCAAAGAAGAAATGACTCCTCATTCCGCAGTAAACTTCAGCTGCCAGCAACTTCTCAGGCAGGGGTGGGGCCTCTGGAGCCCCTCTCTTACCCGAGCTGTAGTGTTAACTGGCTTGGTGTTGTAACCGTAGCTGCTGTGAGACTGTGAGGGATATCACGTCATAGCATCCTTCCCATCCTCTGGCCCTAACAGCCTTTTCACCCCATCTTCCATGTTGGTCCCTAATCCTTGTTGGAGACATGCAGGCAGGTCTAGGTATCTTGCAGAATTGGGGTATCATCCACAGACTGCCTCAGGCAGCATTCAGACTTTCCTGACCCTCCTGGCTGTCCCACAGGACCTTGTGGACAGGTGTCAGCAGAGCGTACAGGAGCACTGCACCTTCAGCCACCGGCTGTCAGAGCTGCAGCAGTGGACCACCCTGGTCACACAGACGTTGGAGTCACACCAAGGGGATGTGAGTCTGTGGGATACTGAGACCCAAGAGACTGGACCCGAGGTAAAGTGCTGGTTCATCTCCCTGCCCACATTCTCCTAAAGCATTCTGAGTGAACTTACTGGGGTACAGAGATCCCGCCAGACCAGTGCCTCACATGTGTGTGTGTGTGTGTCATCCATGTGTCCCACAGAGGCTGCTGGCTGAAATTCCAGAGAGAGAGGTCCAGCTGTCCCTGCTCCAAGCACTGGGCCAACTTGTGATGAAGAAGTCTTCCCCAGAGGGGGCGGCCGTGGTCCAGGAGGATCTGAGGAAGCTGATGGAATCCTGGCAGGCCCTGCGTCTGCTAGAGGAGAATCTGCTGAGGTAAGGGCCTTGCTTGACTCCTGGTGTCCTTAGAGCGTATGACTGAGGGGTGTGTGCCAGGCATGGTGCTGGGAACCTGGGGATATCCCCATCTTTGATCCAACTAGTGATTCTGGTAGGGTTCTGAGGACTGGAGGACACCCCTTACTGTGGAGTTAGCTTCCAGCCTATTCTTGCCTGAGATGACTCCTTTATCTACATTGATAGGTATGTGTGCCTTGCTGGTATGGTTTAAGAGTAAGAAATAGCATGAATGTGCCTGGGAAACTTTCTGGTGGTCCCAAATGGTGGCTGCTAAAGTTCTTAACGGTAGCAAATCGTCCAAGTTTCTTTGGTGCCCCGGTACTATTGCTTCTCTGGGGACTTGATGGATACTCATCACGTGGCTTGCCTTGAGTAAGTATACTTGTCTTCCCAGTCTCATTAGAAACCAGCAGCTGCAGAGGACCGAGGTGGACACAGGGAAAAAACTGGTTTTCACCAACAACATCCCAAAGGCCGGCTTTCTCATAGACCCCCGGGACCCCATTCCCAGGCGGCGGCATGGGGTGAGTACATCTCACAGGCTTTGGGAGAAAGGTCAGATCCAATGTCAATCGGGGAGGTGGGGGCCCCAGACCATGTGCTTAGCTCATAGGATGTATCTACTTTCTTGTTGCTTGTCCCTCCCTGATGCAACCCCAGAAGCAATGCATTGCTAGAGGACTGCGGATCCTGGCGGTCTTAGATTTCAGAGGTCCCAGAGCACATCAGAAGGTCAGGAACACCCCTGGACAAGACTGGTCCTCATTTATCTGAATCCCTGCAGCAGCTAGTGTTGGGAGAGAACTAGAGTTAAAAACTGACTGCTAACCTCAGATGGCAAACAGATCAGAGATGCAAGTCCTGACCCAGCAGCCTGATTGCACAAGCTCCAGACATATGGTCTGTGCTGTTGGACTCTGGAACACAATTGAGACACAGAAGGTGTGGCAGCTAGGCTGGATGCTATACCCAGTTCTGGGATGAGGAAGCCCTTCTAGGGATAATGAGATATCCATTGACCCCTCAAGACTGAGTGGGAGAGGGAGGGAGAGGCATTGCCTTAATTACTTTTCTATAGTTTTCATGACAAAACATCATGAAAAGGTAGCTTAAAAAAGAAAACATGTATTTGGGGCTCAGAGTTCCAGAGGGTTAGAGTCCATGACCGTCATGGCGGGGAGCATGACCACAGCAGGCAGCCATGGTGCCGGGTCTGTAGCTGAGAGCTCACATCTTGATCCACAAGATGAGGCGGAAAGAGCTAACAGGGGATGGCCTGGCCTTTTGAAACCTCAAGTCCACCTCTAGTGATGCGTTTTCTCCAACAATTCCATAGTACTAATTCTTCCCAAATAGTCTACCGCCTGGGAACCAAGCATTCAAATGTATGAGCTTATAGGGACCATTATCATTCAAACCACCACAAGTGTGTTCTCAATAGAGGGGGGAGTATATACAGAGACCCAGAGGAGTGTAAGTTCAAGGTGCTGGGATGCAGCTGCATCTCAGAGAGGATGAGGGGAGAAGGAGGGGAGGAGGAGGGAGGCAGCCCAACCTTCTTCAGAAGCCTGTAGAACTGGAACCCAAGGCTTTCCAGCCATATCAGGGAAGAGTGAGGCGCCACCAAGGGATAGGGAAGACTTAGCTAGACTGCTGGCTTTCATTTCACTCTGCCTATGTCTTCACAAGAATGGAGGAAAGATGACCACTGGGTAAACATCCTGGTCAAGGCTGATGACCACTGGGTAAACATCCTGGTCAAGGCTGATGACCACTAGGTATACATCCTGGTCAAGGCTGATGACCACTGGGTAGGCATCCTGGTCAAGGCTGATGACCACTGGATAGGCATCCTGGTCAAGGCTGATGACCACTGGGTAGGCATCCTGGTCAGGATGATGACCACTGGGTAGGTGTCCTGGTCAGGATGATGATGACATCTGGAGCTCTAGAGAGGTGATGGTGAGAGATGCTCTTGCCTCCTAAATGTGGATGAATAGAGGACCCTTCATCATCCCTCTGAGCCCTCCAGGTTCCCTGTCCTCATCTTTACCCTTCTGCTTTGGTGGGATCCCCAGGAACCATGACCAGCAGGCCTTTCTCCTATCTAATCACATGCTTCCCTGCAGGCAAACCTACTGGAAGAACATGACCTCCATGAAGATCACTCCCAGCTCCTGAGGGACTTTGAACAGTGGCTGCAGGCAGAAAACTCCAAGCTACTTGGAATCATCACAATGAGAACAGCCACAGCCAAGGACTTGAGGACCAGAGAGATGAAGCTGCAGGTCTGTTCCAAAGAATGATCCCTAATGGGGTTCATGCCACCAGAAGTTCTCAAATACAGGAGTTCATACTTAATAGTAGTTTATAAGCCATCCTGAGTCTAAGTAATGATTTTTAAATTTCTTGGTTCAGATACTCTAGAGCTAACTTTTCCTTGCATCTGTCCATCCATTTGTTCATCTGTGCATCCATTTGTCCATCTGTGCATCCATGCACCCACACATGTATCCGTCCACCCAGCAATCATCCATTTATGCATGCATCCATCCCACCTTATATTTCTCTATGTGAAAAATATCACTACTCACTTGATTATGGTATCAGTTAGCTGCCACTGTGTCACAAACCACCATGACAACAAGTTGCTTAAAACAATAAGCTATTGTTTAACTCATGATTTTGACATTTGGCGATTTAAACTGAGCCTGGTTTCTGCCAGTTCTGGGGCCCAAGACAACCTTACCTTTTGTCAGATGTGGAACAGCTAGGTGGCTCTGGTGGTGGTGGTGGTGTGTGGCGGGGACTGGCAATGGATAGAGACAAACATGACGTGTCTCATTCTCACGTGGGACATCCCAGACAGCTTCAGGTGGCTGCAGAGTGTAAGGAAGCGTATGGAAACAGGCAAGACCCTGGATGCCTAGATTAGGAACTTGCTAGAGTCACATGGATTCTTCTGTGTGATGCTGTACAATGAAAGTCAGTCACAGGCCATCTCAGATGCAAAGGAAGAGAAAAGAGACTCCACCCCTTGATGTAAAATCAAAGGTATGGTGGGCAGGGGAGAGGTAATTACATGCTTGTATTTGGTCTACCACTATTCTCCCCTTCATCCTGCCTTGTTAGTCATCTTGATAGATTCTGGGACTACTGAGTCCAAGTTCAAGTCTGGTAGTTCTGGACCACTAAGATGGTCTGGAGTTAGTCTGTAAGTGCATTCAAGGCCCAGATTCACTTATGGTTTAGTCTGAGAATAAGCCTGCAGGCATCTCATCTACAAAGGGAATGGCTTACAAGTCCCTTCCTCTGCAGAGCCCAGTCTTTTATTTTTTTAAAGATCGATTTATTATGTATACAGTGTTCAGTCTGCATGTATGCCTGCACACCAGAAGAGACCACCAGATCTCATTATAGATGGTTGTGAGCCACCATGTGCTTGCTGGGAATTGAACTCAGGACCTCTGGAAAAGCAGCCAGTGCTCTTAACCTCCGAGCCATCTTCCCAGCCGATGAGCCCAGTCTTTGACTTTCACCATTTTACCCTTGGGAAGCTGTGGAAACAGATTGGTTTCAAAGCTGGTATTATTCCCTCTAGGGGGGCAAAAATCCCGAGAGCAAAAGGAGGTCTGGACAGAGGCCTTGTTCCTCTGTGTTCCTGTCCAGCTGCAGAGCATCTGTGGTGGCTTTATTTTGTTTGCAGAGCTGGGGATCAAACCCAAGGCCTCAGACAGGCTATGCTCTGCCATGGAGCTACCCTTCCACCCCCTTTCCTGAGTTTTGTCCTGACTGGTCTCCCCTATTTGCTAGCGCATTGATGGCTTTAAACACTGCATTGTGTTCTCACTGCACGACTTGTCCCCTGATGGAACTCACATCCCCATCACGTCTTCCCACCCACATCCCCAACTCAGATCTGTTGTCCACCCTCTGTTCCTGTATCGTATCAAACACAGCCTCTGGTCCAGCCGGCACCATGGTAGGTTCTGAGCAGCTTAGCCAAGGTCCAAAGCTAGGGCTGAAGCCTAGGCTCCAGCCTATAGACCCCTCCTCCACCCCACATCCCAGCACCTCTCAGGACTCCTGGGAAGAGGAAGTGTCACCATAGGGGAGAGCTGTGGTCTACTTAGACAAAAAAAAGTCGACCCAACTCATCATCAACACTGTCAGTCTTAGAAATGCCAGCAGAGTAGCATGCTCCATGGTGATCTCTTTGTGATGGTGACTGATGTGACAAACCTCCCATGGTCCTGGAACATCGTGTTATAAGTAAACTCTGTGGAATGTTCTCTAACATTCTGGATGCATAGATGAAGGCTGGAAAGATGGCGCAGAGGTTAAGAGAACTTGCTGCTTTCACAGGCGACCTGGGTTCAGTTCCCAGCATCTACATGGTGGCTCACAATCATCCATAACTCCAGTCCCAAGGGATCTGATGCACTCTTCAGATCTTGGCTGGTACCAGGCATACTCATGATGCACATATATACATGCAGGCAAAACACCCATACACACAAAAGAAGTATTCCTAAGACCAATTTTAAAAATATATTTATTTATTTATTTATTTATTATGTATGCAGTATTCTGTCTGCATGTATCCCTGCAGGTCAGAAGAGGGCACCAGATCTCATTACAGATGGTTGTGAGCCATTATGTGGTTGCTGGGAATTGAACTCAGGACCTCCAGAAGAGCAGCCAGTGGTCTTAACCTCTGAGCCATTTCTCCATCCCCCCAAGACAAATTTATAAAAGAATATTTATTATGTTATGTGTATGAGTGTTTTGCTTGCATGTATGTCTGTGCATCACTTATGTGCCCAGTACCCTTGGATGACAGAAGAATCAGATCCCTCGGGGACTAAAGTTAAAAATAGTTATGAGCCAACATGTGCATGCTAAGAATTGAACCCAGGTCCTCTGCAAGAGCAACTATTATTCTTAACCATTGAGCCATCTCTCTAGCCCTAAAAACATTTTTAAAAAAACTTGCATGCATGAGAGGCTCATGTTACCAGTCCTGTCCACATTTCCCAGCATGCCTCTGGTGGTACTTGATTGGCAAATCCTTACCAGCCAGCAGGGGTTCTTGGGCCACTGGGAAATCATGGCATGATGGTGCCTTTACTTTCAGGAGCTGGAGGCTCGAATCCCAGAAGGCCAGCATCTCTTTGAGAACCTGCTCCGTGTCAGGCCAGCAAGGGACCCCACCAATGAGCTGGAAGATCTGCGCTATCGTTGGATGCTGTACAAATCCAAGCTCAAGGATTCCGGCCACCTGCTGGTAAGTGCTTGGGTTAAAGGTTGGGGGTCCCAGGAGGCAACCACAGCTGGACCTATGTAGTTCATTCTGGTACATACATACATACATATACCAGGCCAATGTGACTGCTCAGAGGAAGAGAGGGACACTCTCAGGTCTCAGGCACTTGGCTCACGTAGTATTATTTGTCCGTCTTGCCTCCCAGTGGCGCTGGAGTCCTGTAAATAGTGCGCACGGATCTCTTGCTCCCACCATGTCTGAATTTTATGTACATTTTCCATTTGGTTTTAGAGCCACTTTCTGCTGGAGTATCTATCTGCACTCCATTCTCCAGTGGGTAGCTGAGTCCCACCCCAGACCCCACTGGGAGACGCTCGGGTCACAGTTACATCCCTTTGGTGTGGTGCTGCCACAGGGATGCATGGGTTGGATGCCAGAGGCCCTGAGACCCAGTCTTCCCTTCCACTGACCCTGACCTAGAACTTTAATCTCCTGGACTTCCTGTCTCCTACAAGCCATGGGTAATGATAGCCTTTGTTAAATGCTATGGTCTCCTAACATACCCATACAGCAGAAGGGAACCTTCACTCTGGACTGATGACAACACTGAGACAAAGAAGTTAAGTTTCCTAGGCCCAGGAAGGAATAGGTAAAATGACTACCCCTAGCGTCCCTCTTTCAGGTCTCAGAGCCCAGAAGCCACAGCCTCGGGCACTCCAGGCTTTCCTGGCCCCACAACTGCCAGTTTGGCCACTAGGTATCAGCCCAGCCCTGGCCAAGGCCCTCTAGACTGTGCCACCTGGCCCTGGAGTGTGTTAAAAAGCTCGTTAAACAGGATCCCCTGCTGGTGCAGGCTGTGCGATGACCAGAAATGTTAACGAAATACTCCCCCGACAAAATGAATAGTCTGTTACGGGTTCTGCTGGGGTTTAAGTTTTATGTGCCTAGCTGATTTTTACCCTGTTTCTTCCCCTTCCCTAAAATAACAGACACAGACTTCTCCAGGGGAGCTGACTGCATTCCAGAAGGTACGTGTCTGCCATCTGCTGCTGCAGCACACAGCTAGAGGGAGGGCAGAGAATGTTCAAGGCTAGAAGACCTGCGATTCTGGGACAGGGTGTCTGGGTTTTCTAGAATGTTCCATGAGATCTGAAGAGCATGAATAGAGAACAAGCTTTGTGTTGTAATGGGCTGGGCCCTGAGGTATGTGTTCTCAGGAAGCCCCAGGCTCTGGGAGGGATTGACAAGTGTGTGTAGATTGGCCTTGACATACACACAGTGGAGGGGGGGAGATCCTAGATTTGTCATCCAGACCCAGAACACACTGGAGAGTGACCTGATACTGTTTTGATTACTGTGCCAGCAGGTGTAAACCAGGACTGATCCAGGAGCCTGGACTATTCTGGGCAAATTAGATCATGTGGCCTCTTTGGTCCTAGGGTCATGTTAGAAAGAGATGGTGGAGTCCTTTGCTCTACCAGACACCTGTTTCCACTGGTGTCCATCGAGAAGCTCTGGCTTTTCCCATGTGTCTCAGTTCCATTTCCAAGGCTGTGACCAAATATCCAACAGAAAAAAAAGCTTGAGAAGGGATTTGCTCTGGCTCAGGGTTTCAGAGCATGCAGCCACAGTTGTTAGGACTCTGCTTGGGCAGTATGTCATTGCATTGGGAGTCTGTGGCAGAGAATGGCTGTCCACTTCCTGACCAACCAGGGAGGGAGGGAGAGGAAAAGTGAGAGTTTTGGAGGGTGGGGGGAAGAGGAAGAAGGAGAAGTTGGGGACTAGGATCTGGTATGACCCTCAGCCAGCCAGACCCCAACTCCCACAACCTCCCCTTATTAGGAACCACCAGCTACGGGACCAAGCAGTCAAACCACAAACTGGGGTATTTCCAATTCAAGCCAGGACACTTGTGGCTTGGGCATCTCATTGTACCCTGACACTGACACCAGGTAGCCTTCTTAGCTCAGCTCTAAGCCTGAGGGGGGAAATGGCATGAAGAGCTGATGTGTCCACCAGGCATGTGACTGCTGATGGCAGTGGCCCTCAGGTGTCAACACCCATGCTTTACCTTACACAGAGTGTCCTGGAAACATCCTGGGGCCTTTCTCCCCATTCCTGTCCCTTGCTTTCCCTAGCATTGCCCTTGATTTCTTGCCCAACATCGACCATAGTGACATGAGTCCCCAGAAAACTGGTTCAAAGAGCCTGGAGTCACTTCAGATCTCTCATTCTCTGGAGTCTAAATCCCAGGTGTGGGCAACCTGGATCCAGTGGCCTCTGGAAACTTGAGGAGAATGGGTGACTCATGGATCAAGTAGGGCTTATTATGGACCAAGGCTGCACTTGGGGCCCTTCACCAACCAGCTTTATGGCCTTGGGGTTCCCTATCCCATATGTAAAATGGAAATGTCACTGTTGGCTTAATTTACTCCATGAACTAATTTTGAAGTCTGTGTGAATCAGAGCATACTGAGAGAGACATGTTTCACCCAGGATTCCCCCTAGTTCAGAATGGCATGAAACTCAGGGACTAGGAAGGGGTGTCTGGAAAGGCCAGGTGACCTGAACTGCCTGGCTTGGTGGCCCCTGGTAGAAGATGGAAGTCCCAAAATCAGTGTTCAGTCTGTCTGTCGTTGCTCCACTTTAAACCCCTCTGGGAGTCCCCGTTCATGCAGTCCAGGCTAGAGTTGATCAGAAGTGTCTAATCGTTTGACACTGAGACATAAAATCTTCTACAATGTTACAAAGAGTTCTTTCTTAAAAAAACAAAACAAAACAAAACAAAAACAACAAAACACCTCTCAATGTTTTAAGTAAGTTTATGGTTTTGTGCTGGACCACATCCCTAGCTATCCTGGGGTGCATGTGACATGTGGGCCATGTCTGACCTCTGTCAGACAGATTCTAAGATCCTTGGTACAGCCATGGTGCTCACGGTTGACTTCTTTTAGTCATTCATTAATCAGTACAAAGTCAGTAATGACTTTGTGATGAAGGCTGCTTAATGTGCTCAAAATCTATCAACCCCAAAAGAATGACAGTGTGCCAACCTAGAACATGTGTACCTGGCTAGGACATCTGTGTGGAGCCGGGGCTTGGCCATCTTTGCATCAGAGGGTTTGAAAGGCAGCAAACATGAGATCTCATAACTCCAGTGTTTTCCAAATAACCCTGTTTACCTTCTGCTAGGCGATGTCAGCCGTTGTCATCGTACTGTTGGGTATACAAACTAGAAGGTTCTACATGCTTATCCTTGCTATGTTTCAAACAAGTAGATGTAAAAAAAAGACTGACTTTAATTCTGCCTTCCTTTTAAGCCAATGGACCTCAGCTTCCTATGAAGAAGGAAGCCATTCGTGGCAGCTTGATATTCAGAGACAGTTAGGATGGCCTGTGAACACAGATGGCTGTGCCCTCCCCTGAGCTCCTGATCCATTGGTCTGGGTAGTTCATGAACACATTCCCAGGTGTTGCTCATGCTTCTAGTTCAGGAACCACACTTTGAGAAACTGGTGTTTTATGCTCTGCATTCAAATCCAGGCTCAGTCACTGGTGTGTGTGACGTTTGGCAGCTTACTCGACCATGATCTTCAAATGAAGGAAATGAGTCCACTGGACTAAAGGCAGGAAAAGTTCCCTTCCTACTGCCTGGCACATAGTAGGCTCTCAATTGTCATGTATGTGAGGGCAGATGCCTGTAGACACTGGTCCTGCTGCTGTTTCTTCTTCTCCTCCTTCCTCTTCCTCTTCCTCTCCTTCTCCTTCTCCTCCTCTTCCTTCTTCTTCCAAGAGCAGAAAGAGCAGTGATGCAGAGGTCTTGTTTTAGTCAGTTTTCGGTTACTATTACAAAATGCTTGAGGAAATCAGCTTATATGAAGAGGGAAGGGTTATTTGGCTCATAGATTTTTTTTTTTTTTTTTTTTTTTTTTGGGTGGGTGTGTGTGTGTGTGTGTGTTTCGAGACAGGGTGTCTCTGTGTAGCTTTGGAGCCTATCCTGGTACTTGCTCTGGAAACCAGGCTGGCCTTGAACTCACAGATTTCCGCCTGCCTCTGCCTCCTGAGTGCTGGGATTAAAGGCGTGTGCCACCAACGCCTGGCAGCTCATAGGTTTTATAGAGTTTCCCATCCATAGCCACTTGTCCCTGTTGCTTTGGGCCTTTAGTGAAGTCATACATTGTGGTGGGAACATGAGGTGGAGCCAAACTACCCATCTCATTTCCAGGAAGCAAAAGAAGAGGAAGAGGAGAAGCCCATGGTCCTTTTCAAGGACACACCCCCTAATGACCTAAGGACCTTCCAACATGTCCCACCTCTTTAAGTTTATCATTAGTATTTATTCTGTGTGTCTGAGTATTTCGCCTGCATGTATGTGCAGGCATGCTGTGCCTTTAGAAGCCAGAGGAGGACATCAGATGCCCTAGAACTGGAATTACAGTTGTAAGCTGCCCTGTGGGTGCTGGGAATCGAATCTAGGTCCTCTGCAAGGGCAGAGTTCATAACAGCCGAGCCATTTGCAGCCCCCACCTGTTAAGTATTCCACTCCTCCAAATACTCTACCCAGGGCATCAGTTCTGTAACTCACGAGTCTCCGTGGGACACTCAAGACCCAAATTCACAGTCCTCATGTTTTTTATCTGGTTAGGTATGTGCAATCATGATAGGACTCCACACGTGTGTGCATACACACATGCACACAAACATGTGTGTAAACCCACATGGGTACACACATACACACATGCATGCATATACACCCCCCCCACACACACACCTACACACACACGCACAGACCAGCCAGGTAGAACAGAAGTGCCTTCTGCAAAAGCTGCAATCTCACCAACTTAAAAACATTCTCTATATTATTTTCAGCCCACAGGGAAGAAAGACACCCACTGTGGAGCTGATGACTTACGTGTGGTTGGTTCTCCACACTCCCCTTCCTCCCTCCAGGCCTCAAGTCATCTCAGGCTCCAGCTACGTCAGCAGCTACAGCCTGTTTGTTTGCATAAACAGGATAATTAAGATTTATTAAATTTGTGCTGCCAGTGTGTCAGCCAGCTCGGTGCCTGCAGCACTCAGACACACAGTAGTTGCTGTTTGAATAGCAGCTGGGCGGGAGTCACCTCAAGCCCTGCTGTGGCCTGGGATGTGTCATTGCCCTCCCTGAAAAAGAGTCTTTTCACTGGAGCCCTGCACTGACTGGCTGCTGTGCTCCAGTTTGCAGGGGCTCGGCGCAGTGTACCCAGGGGCTCTCGGTACACAGGCCCACATGTGGGAGCCACCTGGGAGTGGCATCAGGTTTACCTGACAGTATTTCCAAGGTTTTAAGATTCATAATTTTTGTCTTTACATTTTCACCTTGCTGGAATTTAGATTTTCGTTCCAACCCAGTCCTCCCGGGGAGTACTCAAGATTACTTCCTCCAGGTGAAAGTTCAGGAAACTTTCACCTGGGATTCTTGGAAGTCAGAGTCTCTGCTGATGATTGCATTTTGTTCTGTTTTTCTTTAGGCTACACTGGGGATATGCACTAAGCCCATCTGTTTGTGGGAGCCCTTGCCTATGGTTCAAGTTCTCAAGAAATAGCTTTTTTTTCCCTCTCCCTCCAACCAAATATGGAATGTTCTGGCCCCTTTCTATGAGGTCACAATCCTTGTTCCCCACTGAAGGCACAGCCCTCCACATGCGCTTTACCTGTGGCTTTCTTCTTCACTTCCTCTTCTCTCCCTCCCTCCCTTCCCACAGTCTCCCATAGCCCAGGCTAGCCTGCAATTCACTGTCTGTGAGGATGAACCTGGATTTCTAATTCTGCCAAACCTGGATTTCTAATTCTGCCTCTACCTCCTGAGTGCCACTATTACAGGTGGACATAACTATACCCAGCTTACCCAGTGCTGAGGGTCAAACCCAGGGCTTCACACGTGCTAGACAAGCATTCTGCCTGCCGGGCCACAGCACCTAGCTCCTTTATGGAGACTCTTCAGTCATGTGCATTCTGGCATTGGTGGTGCCTGCTTTCTTTCTTAGTGGTGAGATAATGGTTGCCTTTCAACAGGTGCCTGGGTTGCGTGGCACCTATAGATTTATGTTCTTGCTCTGTAAAAAAGGCAGAGGCCAGTCAGCCTCCCAGAGCAACTGGAAACATCCAGGAAGCTCATGGCCTAGGGGAAGAGTTGAGCATGGGGCCTTGGGTGGAGTATGTGTACACATGTGTGCACATGACAAATGGAGGCCAGATGGTCTGGCTGGAATACTGGGATAGTGAAAATATTCACAGTGAGCAGTGAGTGTCTCTGTGGTCACCTCCTGGGTACTGAGGGATAGGCAGATGGCCAGAGACGATAGGGTGATGTTCTTTCTCATTCAGCAAATGAAGGATGGGAGCCCTGCCTCCTGTGGAGCCCTTTCTCTCTTGGATAGCTTTGAGTAGGACACAGGCAATAATACTCTGTAGAGAAACTGAGGCACAGAGAGGCTCTTAGAACTGAGATGAGCTTGGATTGTACATTCCCTTGTTGACATCTTAAAAAATTCTTTGTTAGAAGTGTGTGTGTGTGTGTGTGTGTGTGTGTGTGTGTGTGTGTGTGTGTGTGTGTTCAAATGTGTTCATGCCTGTATGTATGTCCAAACTTTTGAAACACTCATTAAAGTATACCTTTTATTTCAAATATTTGTTTTTTTTTATTGTAAAGAACATTTTAGAGTTTAAAGCCCTCAAGTAGGAGGTAGACTCTTTAGAAGTGATGTCTGTGCAGTTGCAGGCATCCCCCAAATTCCTGCATGCCTCACACTTGTGGATGAAGACACTGCTGGACCTTCAAAGCTAGTTTAGAAGGGTCAAGCCCAAGGCATAGATGCATTTGCATAAGTGAAGCCCAGTTCTAAGAATGGAGGCTCCAGAGAAATGGAAAGCCCATTCTAAACAGCTCTACCCAGGAGGCTTTGGGTCACGGCATTCTAGTGGCGTCACAGCATACTGCCTTGCTCTCCCATCATTCTCCATGAGTCATATGGGTCACCCGAGACTTCTCAATCAGGCACAGTCATCAGAAAATGTCATGTTCCTCTGTTCCTCACCACTACAATCACCACCCTCACCACCCTCACCACCACCCTCATCACCACCCTCACCACCACCCTCACCACCACCATCACCAACAGAGCCACATCCTGCCCAGCCCCTGCAGACTGCAGGACATGCCCTGTGGACACAACAGCAGGAAGTCTGCTGGGCATTGGCGTGTGAGAGAGAGACCTTCAGGTACACTGATGGGGAAGTCTGCTGGGCATTGGCGCGTGAGAGAGAGAGACCTTCAGGTACACTGATGGCGATCATACAGAGGAGAGAGAAAAAGGAGAAGGATGGGGAGGAGGAAAGGAGAGCCCTGGGAAGTGGTCATGGTGCTCTTTCTGCTGATGTTCAGTGTGTCTGGGTGACCATGGTGACTATTTAGATGGTGGCAAGGTTAGGATGTGGACCTGTGATGATGGCAGCTATTTGGTACCTGTGGTGCACTGGGCTCCACTTTATTTAATCCTTACACTATGCCAGGTGGCAGCCGTTATTACACCCACCTCTAGATGGAGAATTTTGATTGGCTACCTCAGGATTCTCAGCAAGTGGTCATACGCAGATGCTCCTCAGTTCACCGCGGGGTTCTGTCTTCACGAAGCCACCACAAATTGAAAATGCCTGTAACACAGCAGAATATCTCAGCTCAGCCACACAGCAGCCTGTAGATGGTCGGCCACCACCTTTGTGATTGGGTCGCCCATGGGAAGTTGCTTGCCCCTGCTGCCCAGCATCTCCAGAGGGTGTTTGACCACATGGGTCTGTCTAGCTTAGGAAGAGATCAAAATTTCAAACCTGAAGTATGGTTTCCACCGAGGATGTTTTGCTTTCTAAGCCAAGCCATTGTAAGTTCAGGACCCTTGGTCCACCAGGGGGAGGGTTATATCATCCCTGGCCCAATCTGTTGTTCTCTTGTTCTTCTTCCTTTCAAATCCTTGAGTGGTTTAAGGAAACTGCAGAGATCCTCGTGGCTGGCAAAACTGACATCAGCTGCATGTCTTAATTTTCACACTGCCGTGAGAAACTCCAAAAGCAGCTTAAGGAAGGATGTGAGGGTATAGTCCCTCTTGGGGAAGTCATGGTGTCTGGTCACACTGTGTCCACAGCCCGGGGAGAGGTAGATGTTAGAACTCAGGTCATTTTCTCCTTTTTTACTCAGTCTAGGATCACAGCCCATGAGATGGAGGCACCCACAGTGAGGGCGTGTCTTCCCCCCTCAACCCAGTCTAGAACCCCCTCATAGACATGTCAGAGGTTTGTTTCCATGGTGATTCTTGAAGACCAACCATCGCAGCTCTCTTCACAGTGGACAGACTGTACCCCTATGGTCGCAGGTTACCCAGAATGTCCTGTTCCACTTCCCCTTGAGCCTCCTAGTCGCTCACAGCATATCTTGTGTTGGTTCACAGAGTCCGCAGAGGCGGTGGCGGAATCCCTGCTCTCTCCTACAGAAAGCGTGCCGCGTGGCGCTACCATTGCAACTGCTGCTCCTGCTCTTTCTTCTGCTGCTCTTCCTGCTGCCTGCCGGCGAGGAGGAGCGCAGCTGCGCCCTGGCCAACAACTTCGCCCGCTCCTTCGCGCTCATGCTTCGTTACAACGGCCCCCCGCCCACCTAGCCCACTGGGGCGTACAGGTGACCTTCTGCAGTCCCTCAGAGGCTGGCTGCCAGGGGGAAGCTGGACGGACCAGACACCCAGAACAGCCTCAGTCTAAATGCTGCATCTGTTCCCAGAACAAACTTGCTTTTTCTACGATGCCATCTCTGCCTATTTATACTAAATGTGTACTATGTGTGGTTAGAGACTAATGTACAGAATTTTTATATGCCGTGTCTGTATATGCTCAGTGCAGATGACTTCAGATACGATGTCTCTTTGTGCCTGTGGAAGTCCCCAGCAGTGTGCTTCCCTAATGGGATTTGTGACACTCGTGCCTTAGCTTCCTGCCATCCCTGCAAGGAGAAATCACACATTACTTTTATGACGACCTGTCTCCCAGGAATCCAGATGTCAGTGCAGAAGCCTCTGAGCTGTGAACGTAGCTGAACAGACCCCGAGCCCTGGGGCTCTTGTGCATGTGGGCTAGATAGAGAGAAGCAGTGATGTCCAGGCACAGGCCCAGCCCAAGCACTGCGACCGGACAAGTGACAGAGGGATACAGAGAGGAGCAGACTGATGCAGTTCCACAGAGTGATGGGGCTTAGTGTGCCCCACCCCCACACAGCAGCCACTGATAGCACAGACCATCGAGGAAAGCCTGTGACCATGACCGTGGCCCCATATCTTCAGGAAGTGGCCGGGGTGTTGTTTGTGTTTTCTCTAGGAGAAAGAAAATGAAAGATGAACTTGACTTTTTATTCTTGTGCACGAGGGTGAAGCACTTTGCCAGTGGCCTGTGCCAGTCCCAGGAGGCCTGTGCCATCATTGCTGTTGGGCAGTCTACAGATTAGGGTGTGAGCTGAGGGTAGAGTGGAAACACAGGCCCACACAAGGCAGAGAGGAAAAGACTCAGCCCATCTGATGGGGTCTCTCTTCCTTTCCAAGAAGGAACTGCACAGATTGGTGGGTCTACAGGGCCTAGGCAGGTACCACTCACAACCCACCCCTGTAGCCCCAGAGCTCACAAACTAGCCCCAGGCAGGGGCAAGCAAGGTGAGCTCTAGGCATGTGTGGGAGGCATCTGGGGTGACTCTGGTTTATGCCCAAGGCTGGAAACATGACCAGGGAATTCTGGGATGATACCTAAGTGGATTAAAACTGGATCAGGTTTGCCCTAAACTGACACTTTTTTTCATTTAGAAAATTCTTAATGCCCCCTTTTGACATTAAGGGGTGCCTTCAGGCCTTGTCATCAGATACCCAACCACAGTGTTAAAGACCCAGAGAGGCACCTTAAACACAACCAATACTGAGACCCTAAGAGGGACCCAACTCTAAGGTCACCACCACCCTTATGCACACACACCAAGTCCCTCCCAAGCTGGCATCAGGCCACAGCATGTCTGGCTTCATCTTAGTACAGCACCTAGGAAAGGCTGGGCACTGGCAAGCAGGAATGCAGTGCCTTGGGGCCTGTTACTCAGCTACAAGGCCTCTCCTGCACCTAGCCACTTTACTAGGAAATCAGGGGCGTGTGAACCCTGACTTCAGACCCTGATAGCCGAGTCCTGAGGCTCACAAGACCATTGGTCCACCATTGATCAGAAGTGTGGCAAAGGACATCTGCACTTCCTTTTCCACCAGCCCATTTCACAGGTGGGAAACCTGAGGCCCAGAAAAGGGAGATCACTTCCCCACAGCCACATAGCAGTGGGTTGGTCACCAGTCTTCAGGTGATATGGTGTACTATATAGCACAACCTCCCACACCTCCCTTCCCAGGAAGAACAGGGCTGGGGCATGTCTCAGAGATGATGGAGCACCTGTCCAACAGGTGTGAGTCCTGGGTTCCATCCCCAGAACTTAAGAGAAAAAAGAAAAAGGAGAAAAGAGAGCTTTTTCCTATGAATGTAGTCATGTCTCATGGTAAATGCTTGGGAGGGTGAAACTGTACTATGTGGGTGGCGGGCTGATGGGGGATATATCTATATTTTTAATTATCGATAATGGCACTGTGGATTGCTTATTTGCATAACTTTTTTAACAGAGGGGGCTGATATTTTTATTACTTTCATATGAATATAGCTGGAATATGACATACTAGACATCTCTGGGTGCTCTTCAAACTTCTTTTGCTTAAAGTGGGTAAGGCCACCTGCTACAGGCATGTTGCCTCCTAGCCAATTACCATAGAGAGTTGGAAAGTGTCCCTGGGGAGAAGTGTTGGGGCTTAAAAAACTTTGAAAGTCTTTGTTAGGGGTGTGTGTGTGTGTGTGTGTGTGTGTGTGTGTGTGTGTGATTGTTCTTTGGTCCTGCAGACAGTGCTCACATGTAACCAGGAATGTGTATGTGTGAGGGTCCAAGCAGGTGATATCAGTGCCGTTCGTTGGTCCCCTACCCTGTGCCCCTCTTTCTGCTCCATCTGTTCTCCAAGAATGCAGGAGCAGAGACTGTGTTTATAATGCAGATGGGTAACTGGAGTTGGTGGTCAGGACAGCAGGTGAGCTAGGAAGCCCTGGAGGTGCTGGTGGGAAAGAAGGGGGGGCTGACCACTACACAACTACACACACACAGGCTGTGCTAGTTTGGAAGAAAGTGGCCCACTCTCAGGAGGTGTGGCATTGGTGCCGGAAGTATGTCACTGTGAGGGTAGGCTTTGAGTTCTCTTTTGCTCACGCTTCCCTCAGTGTGATAGTCAGTCAACTTCCTGTTGCCTTCTGGTCTGGTTGTAGCCAGTACCGTGTCTGCCTGAATGCCACCATGCTCCCTGTCATGATAATGGACTGAACCTCTGAAACTGTAAGCCACTACCCCAATTAAATGTCTAAATGTCTTCTTTGTAAGAGTCGCTATGGTTATAATGTCTCTTCACAGCGATAGAAACCCTAACAAGACACAGGCAATGCCTTTCCTTGGGGAACCAGCACATTCGGTGCTGGCATTTCATTGAATCCCACACTGCCCACGCCAGTTCAAACCTGATAGTTCTTCATCCCTAAATGTGAGATGAGAAACTGAGGCCTTTTTTTTTTGAGGGGGGGCTTTCGAGGCAGGGTTTCTCTGTGGCTGTGGAGGCTGTCCTGGAACTAGCTCTTGTAGACCAGGCTGGTCTCAAACTCACAGAGATCGGCCTGCTTCTGCCTCCCGAGTGCTGGGGTTAAAGGTGTGCGCCACCACTGCCCGGCAAAACTGAGGCTTTTAAAGATATAAAGTCACTTGTCCATGTTCAGGTGAGACTCGAATCCAGGGTTATTGGGAGGAGAGGGCTTTGAGCTGGGCCACAAGCGTCAGTCTCTGTGGCCTCTGGGAATGGTGTCACTGAGTGGCAGCTCTCTGCCCCCGGCTCCATTGAGGTGGGATTAGGGAGACTCAGCTTCCTGTGATCTATCTAGTCTGTGGCTCTTTGAGGAATCACCTCAGCAGGCATAGCCATGTGTCATTGGCCATCCTCATGTTGCTCCAGGACGTAAGCTCCAGGGACCTGAGGCCACTGATGTCCCCAATCATTGTCCTCACTTCCCTGTGGGACCAGAGTCCTAAGATGCTTTAGAGAAAGGAAACTGGGGTTCCTTTGCAGCCCGAGACAAGGAGAACGACAAGCCCCTAGTGAGCCACTGCTGGAAGGCCAGGTGCCAAGGGTGTGGGCCACCCTGTCAGGATGCTCAGGCTGCCTGACAGCAAGAGAGACTGAGGGGACTGTTCTTTCTCCATGCAGTGTGGAGCCAGGACTGACCAAATCAACAAGCTCTGAACAGAAAGAGAGATAGGAAGTGGGGGTAGAAGAGAGAGAAAAAGAGAGAGAGAGAGCGAGGGAGAGAGAGAGAGAGAGAGAGAGAGAGAGAGAGGAGAGAGAAGAGGAGGAGGAGGGGTGGGAGAGGGGAAGATGGATGGATGGATGGGTAGATAGACAGACAAATAGAGGAAGTGTCTGTCCGTCTTCATTTTAACTCACATATTAAGCCCTTGGAGTTCCTTCTTGGGGCCATACATGTTAGAACATTAGGGTAAACAAAGTCTAGGCCCTGCCATCCGGACCTCCTAGACCAGGAAGTGTCTGTTGTGTATAAGATGCTAAACCCAGACTAGGGCCTTGGTCCTTAACATCTGCCTCCCACACATGCTCAACCCACCAGGAGGACCGTGGAGGAGACCCAGGGGACCTGGGGATAAGTAGGCGGGTGTCTCACAGCCTCTGCAAGTTAAATGTGGCTGTGACTATGAAGGCAGAGGCGATGTACTAGGGCGGACAGATGAGGGTCAGGAGAGAGGGCCTGGGCATAGCAGAAGGGAGGGAAGCTCACCAGCTGGGCCTCTAGAGGCCTCAAGGGAGATCCTTGGGATCTGAGCCCGGAAGCTGGGCAGGAGGCTGTCTATAGCTGTGGACATCTAAGTTTTTAGACACAACCCAGGAAGGATCACACCCCGTTTCCCTCTCAGGGAGTCAGCCTACAGTGGAGGCTCCTCTGCTCCCCTCACCCTAGTCTTGTACTTTGTCCAGGTCAGCACAGAGGAGAGAAGTGGATCATTCCCTCCCTTAACCTACCCATGGCAGACATGAGTAGTTGATCACTGAGCCTTTCTCTCTCTCCTGCCTGAATAGATTTCCTGATCAGCAAAACACTTCAAGTGTTACTGCTAATTTGTCCTGTGGGAAGTACCTTTTTATCATCCTCATCCCTCATCCTAGCGCCCCCCAGAAGACTAAATTCTTGCCTGCTTCTTTCCCTCAACCCCCACATTAACTTTAGAACATTCCAGTAGTAAGAAGTCAGTTTTTCTTAGCAAGGAAGAAAGGTAGAATGGACCAGTCTGGCCACTATTGGAACCTGAATCTCAGGTTCATTCTGAGCCCTGTATCTGGATCTCATGCTCTGTTAGCAGAACTTGGAGGCGTGGCCCTTTGAAGTTCCAGAAATGGCCTCTGTGCTGCCCACTGGCTCCTGCCAGTTGCCAGGAGTCCCAGAGCCCTTCATATCTACTCAGGGAATGTCCACCCTGGGAAACCTGGAGAGAAGAGATGTGCTACAGAGGCAGCTTCTCCCTGGTCCTGCAGAGGCAGCCGCTCGCCCGTCCTGCGGAGCCTGGACTGAGCTTGTCACCTGCTCTGTGTTCAAATCTTCCAGGACGATCACAGTGGCTTTCAGTCATTCGAGGCTACACTGGGCTCCTGAGAGCAACTTCTGGAAAGGGAAAAAAGGGCCACAGCTTTCTAGACTAGTGCTAACCTTCTAGCAGGGGCCCAGCATCACCCCATAGACAGACCCCGGGGCCTCTTTATCACAGGGTTGCACCTGAAGGACTTAAGATCAGCTGGCAATTCCCCCTCAGCCCCCAGGCACAAAGGAAGGCCTTCTGTTTGTCAACATAAGAGCAAGCACAGGGTGGGGGGTGTTTTAAAAAATGTAACAGAAGAACAAAAGCCTAGAATCTCCCAGCACAAGTGCTACAGGCAGCCCACTGACTCAGCACCTCCAGGCACCTGCCTGCCTTTGGTTCCCATGGTAACATCATAGGTGCTCACAGGATGGTACCCAGCCATCCCTGAACACAGGAGGCAGCAACGGCAGAGGAGTTCGGCTTCCCAAGAGATGCCAGTTTCCTTTCAAAGTCCAGAGCTGCCTGAGGGCCTCAGTGCCTCTCAGCTCTGTGGGGAAGGGCCATGTGAGTCCTCCAGTCCCTGCTCAGTGCTGTTGTGCTAGACTCCTGGTGATGCTGTGCAGATGAGGGGCAGAGCCTTAGTCTCTCTTCTAGTTCTGAGGGAAGAGAACAGAAGAGACCCACAAGGAAGGACCTGAAATACAGCCCAACTCCTGAGAGCCTGGGCTATGGAGTCATGAGTTTAGGGTTAGGTGCTGAACTCAGAGCACAGACAGAGCTAACACCTACCTAAAAGCATCCAGCCAATGAGTTAAGTAAGACATTTAGAATTCAAACCCAGGGTTAATATTTTTCTGCCACTGTGTGGAACTTGCCTTCATGTTCCATTACTTTTCCTTCCCTTGTGGACCACAGGCCACTGTTACTCCAGAATCTTGTTAGCCTGCTGGAAGGTGCCATTCTCGTGCAGGGGATGCAGAGCTCCTTTCCTGTGCCCACTCTGCCAGCAAGCTCTTTGACTCCCATTGCCATTGGGAGTTGGGAGCACCAGGATGGAGTGCCAGGGGCAAGGCTGGAAACAGACTCCAGCCACCGCTGTCAGGGGCAGATGCAGGACAGAGGTTGCTTTGAGAGATCACTGTGTGTGTGCCAAATTCTTCTAGAAGAGCAAAGATGCAGGGGTCTGGCAAGTTTTTGGAGCTCCTGGGATAAAGAGGTGGACAGGGAAGGCGTGTGCATGTCTGTGTGCATGCGTGCACACATGCTTGTATGCATACATGTGTTCGTGCGTGCATATGTGTGTTTGTGTGTTTGTTACATAATTGTGTTTTGGTGTCCAGAGCAATCAAATTCATTATTTAAACTGTTCCCTTGTGTAAACAGTACAGAAGGACCTTCTCTTGTCACAAGTCTCTGTGATTATAAAACATGAATTTTTGATAAGTTCAGCTTTCTGGGAAGGCAGGCAGAATTGGAGCCAAATGACGGTCTTGGAACATGTGTGTGTTATCTTGGTTCATATCAAGTCCAGAGCTGACTGAGGGCCTCAGCTCTGTGGGAAGGGCCATGTGAGTCCTCTGGCCCCAGCTCAGTGCTGTTGAAAAGTTGCTTGGAGATCCCTGCCTCTTGTTCACTTAAGTGTCAGTAATACTCTGCAAGATAATTTCATGTTTTCATTGTTGTTTTATGGGTTTTTTTCTTACTGTATCTGCCCTTTGTTTGAAAATAAAAAAAGCTCTATTTTGGTCTATGAGATACTGTGTGGTTGCCAGTCCTTCTTCTCAAGTCTGGAGTTATCTGGAGAAGGCGTGAGGTGGAAGATACAACAGGATTATGGCTGACTTGTGTTGACATGGTTTTTAGGCAGGGCTAATGCTGGTGACTGGGCTCTAGGTGGGGTATTTCAAGGTTGCTGGCCTCTTCATCAAAGAATTGAAAACAAGGCTCACAGGAATCTGGAGAAGCATCAAGGTCACACTATTTGAAGCAGAGTACTCTGCGACTGTGTTTGGATTTTTTTTTTTTTTTTTTTTTTTTTTTTTTTTTTTTTGCTCAACTCCCTTGAAAGAATGCACTTGGCAGCCTAGCTCCGTTACCTGTGTGTACCATAGTGCAGGTTACAGAGACATGCTCAAAATCGACAGAGGCCTGATTACTGTTTGGGGCCTCCTTTCTGGGGACTGAGGAAAGGAAGGGCTGTTTACTTAGGGGCATGACTTGAGTGGTTCCCTATTTTGATTGATACATGAGGTCATAGATTCCTTTTTCCTGTTGAATGTGTCCCTTCAACACATGCATGCATCTGAGTTTAATCCCACACACCCCAATTATGTGTATGCCCACAGTGATCAATAGGGAACCCTTCCTAAAAGGTTAGTGGAAGATGCAGTTTTGCCTTACTGCATGTGGTGGTTTGAGATTGGCCCTCATGGGCTCACTGAATGCTTGGTCATTCCTGTGGACTCCCTGTTGCTAGTCAGACAAGAGACTGCACCTGTGACGAGGCACTTACACCTGAAGGAAGGTGGTCCGCTCAGTCCATGGGGTCTGAAGTCTTAGATAACACAGATACCCTCAGAGGGATTCTGGTGGGTCTTACAGCAGGTATAAGGAGGCACCTTCCCTTCTGTCAGCATCAACGATAATGAAGCATGATGTCAGAACTTTGCCCACAGATCCTTCTCCCTGGACTGGCTATAGTGTTCTATTAGGTGGCTTCCCCTGTAGAGGCATCCATCGATCCATGAGTCAAGAACCTCAGTGTGAAAACACAATTCCGGTAAGAAATCTGGACCCAGTCTCTCTCCTTCCCATTGAACACCTTTCGGGCGTTCCACTTGCTGTAAAAGTGACATTAAACACACACATGCTTTCTAAGTCTGCTTGGAGTGCTTGTGTGCCTGGCTGGGTGAGTCATTCATTTTTATGGCTGTGACTTTTTTTCCCCTAAGTCAGGTGTGAAACGATTCCCTCTGATTTCATCCACGACTTCCAATCCCAGCAGTGACATGTTCCATCTTCCTGTGGACCGCAAGGCAAGAGCAGTATCCAGATCCTTGAATGGAGCCTCTCTGCCAGTTCTGGCTGCCTTGGTGACCTTTGCACTGCTTCCCTAGGTTAGGCATCCTGAGCAGAGATCCAACTTGCTGGGAACTACCATGGGTGGAAGGCATTGCAGTTGGTGTCTGGCTTGGGTCCTGCCCCTGCTCTGCTTTGGCTTGTCCTGTGGCCTTCTGCTGCCAGTTTCTCTGAGAGGGCTCATCTACCTAAAAGTGTAAAGGGAAATTGCTTAAAATTGTTTTGAGCCATGGCCCAGCTCACGTTGCTTTTGTGTGTGTGTGTGTGTGTGTGTGTGTGTGTGTGTGTGTGTGTGTGTGTGTGTGTGTTTCTTGGCCTTGAGCAAGTAATTGAAGCCCCTTTTCCTTTGGAAGGAGGTGACAAGGTAACAGAAAGAGTAAGTTTTTTAAAAAAATCTAAGTGCAGTGTGTGTTCTGGATTGCATCCTGGAACAGCAAGAGGCCATTAGAAGGAAGCCAATGAAATGCTGTCTGGAGTTGCTTAACACGGCTATGCTGGCGTTAATGTCCTTTTGATTTTGACAAATGCCCATGGTGTGTAAGGGGTCAGTGGAGCCTGGGTGAAGGTGGTGAGAATTCTGTGCTGTTTTTGCAGGCTTTCTCGAATCCCTCCCAAATTAAAATTTTATGTTTTAAAAATAGTCTTTACGGGCTTTTCTTTGCTCTTAATTTTTCTCTCTTCAGAGTGGTGAATCCGACAGGCTTGGGTCAGCTTGGTGAGCACGTGGTTTGAATAGCCACGTCTACAAGGCAATGGGCCCTGGGCTAGTTCTCAGCCTCCCTGGAGGGACACAGTTGCGAGGACTGGATGAGATTGGACTTGAAGATGCCAGGCACATGGTAAACAAGACAGGGGAGCATTTGCTCAGGACTGGCCCTATAGCCTTCTCAACCCTGCCTGGTGGGTTTGAAGGTTTGAAGCAGGGTGTCCTGTCCACCGTCCTTATTTGGGGTTCTCCATTGGGCTACACAATGACTCCCAAGTGTCCTGGGGAGACTAGTTGAGGGAAGATTCGAAAATCAATCAGTTCAGTTGCAGACAACCAGTATAATTGGGATAGGGAGGAACAGGTTTGTCATGGGTGGGTAAGTGGCTCACATAACTATCACAGGAGTAGAGCGGACACTAAGATTCCACGAGCAGACCTCCTACCCCAAACCCTCCCTGGATCCATGCTGGCCCTCCTGATGACAGCATCAGGAGGGGTTGCTGAACCATGGCAGCTGCCAATGGAAGAGTCCTGGTCTCCACTGCCTCTTAACAGTGCTTTGATGGCCCTCAGCAGGATGTCTCCTCCAATTCTCCCCTTTCTTGCAGAGAATCTGAGCTGCAAAATCCCATAATATCCAGAACTTTCAAAGGGCAAAGCAAGTGGCAGTCCCACTCTACTGTTCCTGCAACACAGAAGAGTTCAGGGCAATGACCCAGCAAGTCCGCAGCTCCTCCCTGGGCCACTCCTCTGGGTGCCCAATATCCACGCACCCCTTTATTCCATGTGACGGCTTTCAAACAAAGCCAGCAAAAGACAATTCTCCCTAATGTACCTCCTTCCTACAGGAATGGCAAATCACTGAACAGTCTCCTTGGCAATGTGTTCATTTGTGTGCACATAACTCAATCAGCCACTGTACTTGGGAGCCTCACAGGGCTCTGGGAACACATCCCTGGGAGATCCTGCTTCAGTGCTGGGCCCCATTAAGTCAATACTTCAGAATCCAGAAAGTGACGTTGAAGTCATTGTTCTGTTCCAGGCATTGTGAGCTGTGAGAGAGGAACTAGGGGGCCTTCTGCAGGAGTCAGAAGGCATTAGGGCTCCATGCAGTTAGAGGCAGCCGCTGAACAACCACAGGCAGAGCTTTGGACTCCAGTGATATGCTGGGCTATGAACAAAGAGAAGGCATTTCACAAACCAGCAGCCTCCTTGCCATTAAACTTTTGCTGAAAGTCATGTTCTACCCCAACGAAGCCCCGCAGTTGGAACAGAAAGCATCTCTCCTTTTGACATGTATTAAAATCTGAATGTGTCCTGGAAGTGAGGACAGGAGGGATGGAGCCCTGCACTTCATGGTAATCTGTGCCAGACTTCATTAAACCATAAAGCAGCGTCAACAGCTGCTAGATGCTTTCTCACAGAGAACTGATTCTGGCAGTGGCTATCAAGGAAGGAAATGGCTAAGAACCAGGCATGATGGCTTGCTCTCATAATCCCAACTCTTGTCATGAGGATTGCCATGAATGCTAGGCTAGCCTGGCCTACAGAGAGACACTGTCTCAACAAAGCAACAAACAAATGTCTAAGAAATATATAAATGCTGTCTCAAGGCCATGATCTGAAGGTGGCTTAGTAGCCCTCCAGCTCTGCCTTCTGGTGACCTCCTGTGAGATCAAGAATTTGAAAGAGGGAGCGAAGTAGACCCACTGTTCATGTCTTGCCCGTCTGCATCCCCCAGACCACCAGCTACCCAGGGAATGGCAAGACCTTAAGTATGGTAAGAAGAGCCAGGGGATCTTGGACAGCCTCTTCTACCCCTGAGGGCCTGGTAGGTTACCTGGCGACTGCCCACAACATGGGGTTAAGAAGGACTCTGAGGTTGTGTTAGGGGAAGGAGCTGGGAGCTATCTTGAAAATGGCGGAGGGGCATGCCTGCTCTTCCTCTGGCCTTGATTTCTTTCTAGTACTGGCTTTGCTCTGAGTCTGGGTCTGTAAACTCATGGGCTTATAGACTCTAGACAGAAAAGACTCTGAGCAGGCCAGATTCAGTGGAAGACACCACCACAGGGAGGCGGGGCCTGTCCAATTGCTGCCATGCAGATGTGTGTGGTCCCTGGGGTGTGAGTCTGATGGTTTCTGAATTCAAGTCTGAATTCAGGATTCAGAGTTCAATGTAAGAAGCATTTTTTAAAGTTACTATGTATTTATTTTTGTTTGTTTATCATGTGAGTGTGGGTGTGCCCTCCGATGTACAGGTGGAGTCAGGGGGCAGCTTGAGGAGTTGGTTCTCTCCTTCCACCCTGTTTCTGAGGCAGGGCCCCCTTGTCATCACTCTCCCTTTATTTCTTTCCATTTTTTCTTGTCCTTTTCAGTTTTTAAAATTCTTCTCTCATACCTTATATCCTGACCAAAGTTTCCGCTTCCTTCACTCCTCCCAGAACCCCCCACCTCTCCTCTCCCTCAAATCTAGTCCTCCATGTCTTGTAAGAAAACAGCAGACTTCCCAAGGATATCAACCAAGCATGGCATAACAGGTTACAATAAGACAGGGCACAGACCCTCAAATCAAGGCTAGAAGAGGCAATCCAGTAGGAGGAAAAGGGCCTCAAAAGCAGGAGAATCAAAGACACCCCCCACTCCCACTGCTAGGAGCCCCACAAGAGCACCAAGCTACACAACCATAACATATATGCAGAGGACCTCGCTCAGACCCATGCAGGCTCTGTGGTTGTTGCTTCTGTCTCTGTGATCTCACAAGAGCTCTGCTTAGTTGATTCTGTAGGCCATGTTCTGGTGTTGTCCTTAACCCTCTGGCTCTTACTGTCCTTTCTCCCCCTCTTCCATAGGGCTCTTTGAGTTCCACTTAATGTTTGGCTGTGGGTCTCTCCATCTGCTCCCATCAGTTGCTGGATGAAGCCTGTCTGATGACGATTGGGCTAGCCTCTGATCTATGAGTTATAGCA